TCTACAAGCTGTTTGTAGAAATGTTGATGGGAGTTTTTGTTGTTGAATAGTATTCCACTGCATGAATACACCATGCTTTGTTTATTCTCCTGAGCCCCTTGATTTTAAATCATTTTTAAAATATTAATATCAAATAGGCATTATTTACTCATGATACATACACTAGTAAAGAAAATCTTTCCAGGTATTTTGCCAAAGGAGAAATAAGAACTTTTCACCTCTAGTTACTGTCTTGCTTGTGCGCTCTGCTTGGCAGTGACTTAAAAGGGAGGAAACGAAGCTGCCCTTCTGTCTCTGTGTCTTGTCTTTTTGGCCCAATGCCCGGAAAGTTGTTTACAGAGTTGATGGGAGGATGTCCAATATCACTGCGCTCTGGATGGTACTACTTGGGCAGTCAAAAAATGTATGGGGAATATGCAGTATTTTTCTGGGAAAAAAAGAAGAGTCAACTCTTGGCTGCCAGTTATCCTTCCCTATATCCTCCGACGTCTTGACTCTCCTTGCCACCTCCCACCCGCTTCTGCCTGTCCACTTGGGAGGGCTTTGAGCCTGAGTTTCCTCAGGAGACATTCTGCCTTAAAATCATGCTCTTTGCCTGGATGAAATACAGTGTGCACAAACAGCTTGTAGAAAGCACACATCAGGCTCTCCTAGGAGCTTAATGTCTTTGCTTTCTTCTAGTCAGGTTATGTATGGAATATTTCCTCTGTTCTTTACCAAAAAACCCTCTGGATCCCACGATTTCCCTTCTAAACTGAATAAACCATAGAGTACTTCTCTGCCTCTTAGCTTTTCTACTGACTTTAATCTGGTGTTTTATTTTTTGTTTGTTTGTTTTTTAATGTTTTTCCTCAGCTGCAACTTGGGCTTCTGTTTTGGCCCAGAATGTTTGTTTCCAGGAAACCTTATACCTAAGAGTAAGGTGGCAAGCCTTCTGGATAGGATTAACTATCCAGAAATAACTGTAGTTAAATGATTATTTTGGAGGAAAAAAAGAAAGCCTCAACTCAAGAGGTATGGCTTGGAGTTCAGGTTATCAACTGATGGTTTTTGACTGTGGAATAGTAATACTCTGACCCTTCATTACTAACCTTGTTAATTTAGTTACTTTTACTTACCTGAAGTCAGCTTTTTCCCCCAGAAGTAAAATGGTGAGGAGACTTAAGACCATGTAATTTGAAGACTGATGTAGAAGAGAAAACGCTTGTCTTTATGATTTACACAGGGGACTAAACAAGGGCCAATGGAAATAAGTAACAAGAAGACAAATTTTGCCTTTTGTAATCACCCCTCCCCTAAAAGAGTTTCTTATCTGGAGGTGGAGACTTTATCTTTACTAGAGGTATATAACCAGGGTCAGAATAACCATTTTTTAAAATTACTGATAATTCAAGAAGCTGATTGTGCACTTTGAAAAGAATTAAGTACCTAGGAAAAAACTTAACAAAGGCGTTAAAGAGCTATACAGTGAAAACTATAAGACATTATTAAAAGAAATATAAGACCCAGAGAAATGGAAGCATATTCCTTGCTCATGGATTGGAAGTTAATATTTTTTAAAATTGTCATCTTAACCAAAGCAATTTTCAGATTGAATAGCATTCCTATCAACATTTCAATGGCATTCTTCAAAGAAGTAGAGCAAAGATTACTAAAATTTTTACAGAACCACAAAAGATCCCAAATAGCCAAAGCAATATTCTGGTTTCTCTTCACACTGTATAAATCTTTCACCTTTTATGAAATAGCCAAAGCAGTGTTGACAAAATAAGAACAACAGAGGTTTCATACTCCCAGACTTCAAACTATACTACAAAGCTGTAGTAACCCAAATAGTATGGTATCAGGATAAAAACAGATACCCATATCAATGGAATAGAATTGAGAGCTCAGAGATAAACTCATACTTACATGGACAATTATGGTTACTTTACCACAAGGGAGACAAGAACATACAGTACCCAGTGGAGAAAGGAAAGTCTCTTGGTGTTGGGAAAACTGTAAGCCACATGCAAAAAAATAAAATCTAGACCACTGTCTCACACCATACACAAAAAAAACCTCAAAATGGATTAAACATCTGGATGTAAGACCTGAAACCATAAAATACATACATGAAAATATTGGTGAAATAATTCACAATAGTGACTTCAGGGATGTCTTCGGAAACTCTACTCCAATGACAAGGCCTACGTCAAAGAAAAAATTCTGCACAGTGAAAGAAACAGTCATTAAAATGAAAAGACACCCTGATGAATAGGAGAAAATATTTGCTAATCATACATGTTACAAAGAACTAATATCCAAGATCTACAAAAAACTCATAAGCTCAACAAAAAGAAAATAAAAAACCTAATCAAAAAATGGGCAGAAGAGCTAAATGGACACATTTCCAAAAAAAGACATACATATGTCCAATAGTCACATGGGGAAAAAAAGCCCACGACACTTCTCATGAGGGAAATGCAAATCAAAACCACAGTAAGACACTGTGCCATACCTGTGAGGATGGTCCATATCAAAAAGACCAAAAACAAGTGTTGGCAAGGGTGTAGAGGAAAAGGAACCCTCATACACTGTTGGTGGGAATATACACTGATCTGGCCTCCATGGAAAAGAGCGTTGAAGTTTCTTAAAATATTAAAAATAGATCTACCATATAATCCAGCAAGTCCACTCCTAGTTATCTACCCAAAGAATGCAAATAATTTGAAGGGATATATACTTTGTTCACTGCAGCACTATTTATAATCATCAAATTGTGGACACAACCTAAGTGCCCAATGACAGATGAGTGGATTAAGAAGATGTGGCACATATACATAATGGAATATTACTCAGTCCAAAAAAGGTGAAATTTTGCCACTTGCAACAACATGAATGAAAGGGGAAGGTATTATGCTAAGCAAAATAAGTCAGAGGAAAAAGACAAATAACAGATGACCTCATTCATATGTGGAATATGAAGAAACAAAACAAAGGGATAGACAAAATTAAACCAAAACAAATCCTAGAAATATGACTGTAGAATTGAGGCTGCCGCAGGAGGAAGGAGGCTAGGGGTGGCACATCAAGGGGGAAGAGGGCCAGTAGACTAGGATAGAAGATTATGGGTGCTTTGGTGGTAGGCGTGGTGTGGTAACAGACATCTGAAGTGGTGTGAGTCTGTACCCACTAAATCGTATATTGTGTTGCAAGCCAATGTAAACCGATGTTACCTCAGTAAAAAAATAATAGAATTTTTAAAAACTTTTTATTTTCTTTGGGAAAATAAAAACCTGATTATGAATGACTATAGACATTGATTGTAGATGTAGAAGGATGAAGATATATGAGAAGGCTTGATTTTCCTTCAGCTATGAAGCTTTTGGGGGGAGGTGGAAGATAAAATTAGGTCATAGCTAAGAGCTCTTCCCGGTCTGATATTTCATGTTTGCTCATGTGCTGAATGTGACTCAACTTCAGACTGAAGAGAATGGAGAATGGAGGACTCGATTGACCGAAGGGGCATGGGAGTGTAAAGGTGTGTAAATGTAGCTTCCTGTGTAGCCAGTGCTCTCTAAAGCTCTGTAGGCTGTAACTTTTTTAAATAGAATTCTGTAGGTACTGAATCAATTAATTAAAAAATAGAATGTTGGCTCTTTTCCTTGGTAATCAGTTTCTTCCAGTATGTTACATCTTTAAATTCAGCTCTGTGACTATGACCGTATGAATGATTCTCGAGCCTTTTAAAGGGAACTTGTCTGGTCCTCTCCACCTGTGTCTCTAGGCAGCAGCTTTGCAGCCATCACAAGGGGAACGAAGCCATCCATAATCTTGCAGACTGTTTAACTTAATACCAGGATGAGGTTAAATGTCCTTCTGAGGAGCCTTCTGGGTCTTATCTTTTAAACTGATTTGAAGAAGAAAAAAATGTTTGGTGCAACAATTTTCTCAAAGCCTCGCTAGCCCAATACGAGGAGGAACCTATCTAAACCATTGTTGGAGCGAAGCATGTTAGACTTCATCAGGTGCTTATGGGTATGAATCTGGGTATAGAGCATTAGCTTTTGTTTCTGAGCATGTGCTTGGAGACTCTGTTGACTTCGCTACAGGGTTTCTCAGGTAGTGATTGTGAGGGACACACAGCCCCACCCTGCGCTGCGATGCTGTTGTCATTGAGAGACAGTAGTGCCTGCACCCCGGTAGTAAATAGCAAAACAAAGGTTCTCTTCTTCCAGGGAAAGACCCAGTCTTTCTGAAGGATAAATGACTATAAAGTTCTCTTCTTGCCTTTGCAGCCTGCTTCAGATAAAGTATTTAAATTCTATAGCCGTTATCTGAGTTTGCTGCTTTTTGATAGGGGAGACACTTTGAATTGGTTAACAGTGTCATGGTTTGTGGTAGCTATGGAAGTTCTCCCTTGGGAAAGGTGAGAGATCTTCTCTGGTGGCGAGTAAAACTGTACATTGTCTTCTTTTGGAGAGAGTCTAGTGGGTTAACTACGTGGAGCGCTCAAGCTGAAGATGTGAGCACATTTTTGAAGGGAAGGCAAAGTAGGATTCATACTACATTGTTTTAAAACTGAATCCTGGTAAATCTTAAAGTAATTATGTTGAGTAAAAGAATCCAGATAATATATGATACAAATTTCTAGAAAATTCTGACTCACCTGTAGTGACAGAAAGCACATCAGTGGTTGCTTGAGCCAGTGGGAAGGCGAGGAAGAGCTGACAAAGAAATAACTTACAAGGCTGATGAATGTGCTCAATACCTTGATTGTGGTGATGGTTTCACAAGTGTGTGCCTGTTTCATAATTCATCCAATTATGCATTTTATTGTATGTCAGTTTTATCTCAATAAAGCCAAAAATTAAATGCATCCAGGAGCAGCATTTAACCATGGCCCCTTTTCTGGGTTGCAGGGAGGCTGCTGAAGACTTGCATGTGAAATGAAAATCTTGTGTGTGAGGTAAGTGTGAGAACACAGCTCTTCTGTAATGCATTTGATGTTTCTTTAGGAGTCCATAGAGGCTGCTGCATTTTCCTGAAGATGTCTAACAGTAACACTACCCAAGAGACCCTGGAAATAATGAAGGAATCAGAAAAAAAACTGGTGGAAGAATCTGTAAACAAAAACAAGTTTATATCAAAGACTCCAAGTAAGGAAGATATTGAGAAAGAGAGTGAAGAGACCAGCCTGCGCCAGGAGACACAGGTGAGAATTACAAGTGTGTCCTGCGCCATCGCTTTTTATACCTGAAAAGAACCACTGTGGATGGAACCAGGAATCCACCGGAAGCCGGTTGCTTGCACCACCCCTTGATTTTCCCTAGAAACCCAACTTCAGCCCTCAGGAAAGAGCTCCTTCCTTGTTTTCATAGAATCCACAATGAAGTTTAAAGAAAACAGTAAAATCCCTAATCCAAATGAACCTGAGTTGTTCTTGTTGTTGACACATTTTAATATTTTTTAACTATCAAAAAATATGTATACAAACATAGATTTAACAAGTCATAATGTGACTCATACAATGGATTCTTAAAACTAAAGCTACCTGACTTTACACACAGCATTAAGTTCTTATCCTGGCTGTGCTAAAGCAGTCGGCATTCTCTGGGTCAGAAACAGTCTGGAGGAATGGCACTCTGCTCGCTGTGCTGTTTCCATCCAGGTGCATCCTGCAACGCGGGTGCCGGGCACTAGGTGGCTGACTGAGCTTCAGGGTTCCCTCTTGGTTCTCAGCCGGCACAGGCTCAGCTGCGTCTAGCTTACCTGTTCTGGTCATTCTCTTCTGTGGCCACCACTGCTTTCCTTGTTAGCCCAGCCCAAATGATATAAATCCTCTCCTTCGGGCTTCCCCGGTGGCGCAGCGGTTGAGCGCTGGGCTACGTAGCTGCCCGCAGCCTCTGCAGCGCGGGTTTGATCCCCGGCCGCCGGGCGAGGGTCCCAATGGCGCGCAGACCTCTCCTGCCGTCCGCTGCTCCCCTCAGCAGTGTATCGTCAGTCTGCCTGTTCTGCTCCCTCTCTGGCTCTGGTGAATTCTCTTACCCTCCCGCGCTTCTGACTATACCCAGTGCTTGTATTAAAGAAAAAAGAAAAAAAAACTTTAAAATAAATAAACAAACAAATAAATAAATAAATCCTCTCCTTCATGGCCCACAGTGGGACTGGTCTTTATTATATGCCCAGGAGATAGACTGTTAGGTAAGTTAGTTTAAAAACTGGTAGCACCACCATTTTGGAGGGTCTGGAAACTTGGAGCATGATTTCTCCTGACAACCCAACTCACCTAGGCCTTGTCTTCTTTAAAGATTAAAAAGCAACAACATAAAGGGATGAATTAAAATCAGACAACTCTTTGAGTTTTTTTTTTCTACCTGCCTGCTTTTCTACTGTCTGTCCTCTTACAGTTTGCCAGGTATCTGTCCTGGCTGCTTTTCTTTCCATTATCTTTTGCATGTGAGTTGTCATTCCCCGCCTGTCCTTCCAGAATTTGTGGAGACAGTCTGCTACTGTTCCAACTATACTCCCAGCCTCCACTGATACCAATAATGAATTTTAAATCCTCAAGGCAGATAGTGATGAGTGTTTAATTATGTGCTGTCATGTTACATGGAAGATAATAATTAAGTGAATTTTTGTGTCCAAGTTACTCTGTTCCCAGGAGACTATTTTAAATTGTGTTCTAAACTCCTGCTCTGTGTGTTTCTGAAAATAGGCACAAAAGAAAGGATGTCTGTAGATTTTATGTACTTTATAGACACTAACTTAGTTTAAAAAATCTTTGCCTGGATACACACGTAGCTGTGAGGAGGCTGGGAGGGAGGGGACCCTCTTCCGCTCTGACTCCTTTGCTGCGGCTTGAGGAGGTAGAGCTGCTGCTGCCATCTACTGGAGCACCTGCTTCTTCTATAACCCTTGTCCGCCACCCCTCAGGAGTCCTCTCCAACATTTTCCAACAACAGATCTTGTGCCCCTTCAACCACACTGAACATTTTGCTCTTTCTCCCACCTTCCCCACCATCCACTCAAACCTCTATGTCTACCCAGAAATCTTACTGGTGCTGCCAAGCAGTGCCTGTTTGGAACTGGAGCTGGGAGTTTGTGGAAAGGAAACTTACTTGCATGGACACGTACGTGAGACATATTCTTGGGATCAGCAGTTGGAACTCGGAACATTTTTTTGCCTGAACAGCGCAGACAGTTTCTGAGGTTCACTTTAGAACAGGCAAGCCCTGACTGAACTTAGCTGGGTCCTTGAAATAACTAACCGGGTATGGCCTCCTCGCCGGGCTTTCTGCCTGTGTATTTGTAATCCCGTCTGATTCACCTACCATCCTGTTTCAGAAAGGCGGTTATGAAATAAAGAGTTGGTCATATTAATTCTCTTTAAGCTCTCTGTGTGTCGTACTGCCCCGGGCTGGCCTAGGTTTGTCAGCATGGCACGCTGTGACCCGGCTCCTGCCTGCCAGCCAAATGCCCTTGGCGTTCCATGCTTCTGCATTATCTGGTTCTTTAAGCCAGAGAGAAGCTAAGAAGTTTGGGAAAGCATGCTTTGTACATGCTTTCCCTGCCTAGAATCCCTTTCTTGGTATTCTTTCCTCGGCCTGCTCTAACCCTTAAAACCCCTACCAACATCTTGTAATACCTGTCTGTCCTTCAGAACTTCAGAAAGACTTCTCCCGGAACCCTTCCTTGACAGACCTAGCCATTGTGGAGTTCTTCAACTAATGTCTGACTCCCTCACAGAACTACAAGCTCCATGAGGCCAAAGATCAGGTCACTGTGGACTCCGCATTCTGTTTCTGAGGCCCAATATAGTTCCTCGCAGGCACTCGATACTTGTAAATGTATGAGTTTGAGAATTGCTAGATGAAACACTTGTGTCTGTTCTGTAGCACTCCATGGATACCTCGTGACGCACTTAATGCTCTGTACTGTAATTGTCTGTTTTCTTCTTCAACAGGATTATGAGTTCCTTTTTGATAAGGTTTGTGTCTTACGTCTGTTCTGATGTCAGCATGGTTCCTGTGCACAGTAGGCTTTCAGAGTGTGGTTGACTATTAAAGGAAAACTATCCACCCTAGGAAATCAGCAGATGAATATATTACTTATAGGGTTATAAATTGGTGTAACTCCTAGGACCAATTTTATAAACTAGGCAGTAGCTTATAAACTAGGCAACAGTTTATAAAATTCAAATGAACTAATGTTACACTCTTTTATGCTCAATGATCGGGTCTTTGCAGCATTGCTTATACTGAGAAAAAGATCAGGAATATCCTAAGTGGTGCAACTTAAGGGACTGATCAAGCAAGTTCCAGTAGGGCAGCTGACTAAAAAGAAAAACAGCTCTCCTCCCAGGACTGCCTGTCTGTGGCTATCCAGGTTTCTCTCTTCTTTCCTTTCTTTTCCTAGTCAGCCTGTCCTTTCAAAATGTAAAGTGAAAGGAGGAGAGAGAGAGGAAGAGAAAGGGGGATGGAGGAAGGGAGGGAGGGAGGGGGAAGGGAGGGGGAAGGGAAGGAAGAAAGGAAGGAAATACAGCTCAGCTTGTAACAGGGTGGTCCCCTCTCCCTGCCCTGTAACAAGCTCACAAGGTAATTTTAAAAAAAAAGTTAAAGTATAGCCCCAAAATAGAATACTACGTAGCCATTTAGAAAAACAGGACCTCTTCTGTAGAATATACCCATGGGGGAAAGTCTGAAAGCAAGCTTCAGAGCGGTGTGTATGATATCCTTGATTTAAAAACAAAAAAACAAGCCTGTGTATATCCATGTACAATAAATTTATAAAAGCATAAGAAAGTTCTAGTAGGATTACAAGAAATTCAGTATAGTTGATACTTCAGGAAGAAACCAGATAGCTGGGGGAACAGAGGTGAAAGGAGACGGACTGGCCTGCACAGCCCCGCCACACTGCAGTGTCCACACCATGAAATGCTGCCTCACATTCCTGCACTGTGGGTCCTCCCTTGCTGTAAGAGATCTTGCCACTGACCAGATCCACGATCATTTCTAGCTCTTTCCATCCGCCTCCCTGGTTTCCCCCCGCCTCCCTGGTTTCCCCCCTGCATTCTGGCGCTGTTGTCTGTTGGTGGCGCTCCACGTCTCTTGTTTGCCCTCTTGCCACCCGTCTCAGTTCTTGCCACACCCCAGTGGCAAAATTCCATTCCAAACATCTTGCAAGTTCAAGTGCCTCATTCCGTGTATAGCTACCCGGCCTCTCTCCAGAAGCCCCATTTGACTTCTTAGCTGTTCAGAAACCCTTGTCAATGAGTCGTTTTTTCATTCCAGCTCAAACCTTTATTCTTCTTCCTCGCTTTCAACCCTGCCCCTTACCTGCTTTTTCTCCCCTTTGCTCTGGAGATCATGTTCTTAGTCTTCCATGCTCCCTTCTTTTTTCATCCTGTTCCATCTTACATCCCTGACCCGTGTAGACTGTGAGAGGTACCACTGGGAGCTGAGAGCTGGTGGAATTCTCATACTCAGGAGGAGGGGCAGTTTGGCAAGAAGAGTCTTCATTCTCTTACTGCAGCCGTGGGGTCAGGTGAGAATATCTCAAGCTGGGTCTCTGAATACACCCACTGTGCATGAAGTTAGGCTCCTGTGAGCCAACTTGGGGTAAAAACAATGTGCTGCGGTAATGACATTCCCAGAAACATCCTAAATAGGAGAGAATTCTGCGGTTTATTCAAATGTAATTTTTATCAATTTGTGAACAGGCCTTTGTCTCCTATGCTTTGTCTTCATAGTAAGTGGTTATTCGTCTCTCAGTGGCTCTGTTCCCCTCCTTCACAGTTGCGGAAGTTGTGCATATGGTACAGCCGCACCAAGGCCGTCTTATCACAACTTGACTGATGCAACTTTTTCCCTCTTAGTCCTGTTTCTTTGTATACTTGTATTACTTTTAACTTAAATATTGCTTTTTCCCATCTTTAATATTTTTTTAATTCCTTTCTCACAGAGGCGGACATCGAACCATAGTCATGCCAGGAAAAGAGCCAAGGTGAGGCCCTGTTTTCTATAGCTTCTTTTCTGGTAATACATTTCACAACGAACTTATCACCAGGGTCTGGTGTATTCGGATTATATACAGGCAGGTATTCTTCCTTGCTGTTTGTACCCTAATTGAGATCAGGCATGTATACACACAGGCACATGTGCAGAGACAGCATGTGCATGTACACAGTTCATGGTGGAAGGTCTGCCTTTATTTTTCTCTGTTATGGTTCAGTCACAGTCTATATCTGATACCTGAAAGAACACCCACTGGAGCTTGCCACAGAATCTGAGCAAAATTGGTCCTGGTTTTGCTATAATGCCAGCCTGTCTTCTCACCGCTGGCTTCTATAGGAGAATGGATGCTCTTCGAGTCTTAGTTATACCTCTTACTTGTACCTTACTTGTACCTCGAGTCTTACTTATATTTCTTTTTTACCCCAAAATTTCTTTAAAATCAATCCTGCCCCATTAGTAGAAATGACTTAACATTTTTGGCCATTCTAAAAATAGAGACCTTTTTTATGTTTCACTTTTTTAGGTTGGGAGAGGGAGGAAAATTTTGTTTCTAATCATTATATGATAAAATTAGCACACCACAGATTATTTTAAGTAGTGTTATGAGAGAAGGCTATATGTGTTAGTGTGTGACAACTTTTTAATTAGCTGGGGGGACAGTCAAATATTAAACTTTTCTTGCAGTGGGGAGAATTGTCATCAGAAGTAATAAAGATGTCTTCCCCTTTCCTGAGGAATAATAATGACAGCTTTTAGGTGTGGCCTAGTCAGTTAGTGACTTGCATTTGAAGAAGGCCACATATATAAATTGACTCTGTGTCTTGCCTTATGTGACCTAATTCATAGTGATAGGTTTGATATGAAATTAAAAGCAGAAGGTGTTCACTACAACTTCATTTCATCCCAGACTTTTTAAGATAAATAAAACAACTGTCAATATTGTCAAAAAGACAATAGCACAAGGGGTTAAGCACAGCACTGTGAAGCTGTCCGCAGCCTCTGTAGCATGAGTTCGCTCTCAGCCTGCCAGGGAGGTGACCCACATGGCGCAGCAGACCTCTCCTGTCTCCCCGCTGCTCCCCTCAGCAGTGTATTTCAGTCAGTCTGCCTATTCTGCTCCCCACTCTGTCTCTGATGAATCCTCTCACCCCCATACCTCTGGCCTGTACCCCAGTTCTTGTATGCATAAATAAATAAATCTTTTAAAAAAAGACAATTAAAAATTGTCTCCATTTGGCAGAAGAAGAAATTTGGTCTTACAAAGATTGAGTTTGACAGAGGACATTCGTTAGTATATGGCAGAATTAGGCTTGGAGTCAGTTCTTGAGACTTGCAAGTTCTTTTCACTATACTGCACTACCTAGAACACAGGTACTATGTGATTTTTATTCACTGTAAATCTTAATTTTATTGTAAGAACTTTCAGTAACTTTTTATAGTTAGATTGCTAATGAGTCTTTCTACAAGTTTTGGACTTGGGGATCCCTGGAAGAGTAGTAATATACACTGTGAATTTCAGATCATTTTGTAATTCTGTAGATCACAGAAGTAAACCAAGTGAATTAGCTTTTTATCACATTAAGTCCCAAATGTTAGAAAGTTTTCCGTCTTTCTCTTTCCTCTTTTCTTTGACACTTCTTTCCTTTTTTCTTTGACACTAATCCCTCCAGGTTAGTGTCATTAAGCACTTATTGTCTACTGTACACTAGGCACTGGCTGTGATACATATGTTTATATACTTCTTATCGTCCGATTCGCACAACAGCCCTTTAAGTATTTTTATCCGAGTTTTATTGAGGAAAGACGTAGACCCAGAGAGGGCAGACAGGTCATTTGCTCAAGATCTCATCGTTCATAAACAAAACCAGGAGTTGAAGGACTGGGACTTCTGGCTCTTTATTTCCATTGTGTTTCTACTTAGCTCTGCTGCTGTATATTTGTAGCAAACTTCTGAATCTGAAATGGAGAACTAAGCTAGAGAGAGAGGAAAGCTAAATGAAGTCATTTTCTTATCTGTTCTGTGTAGTTACTTTTTTGTTTGTTTGTTTGTTTGTTTTAAAGATTTATTTATTTATACAAGCACTGGGTACAGTCAGAAGCGCGGGAGGGTGAGAGAATTCACCAGAGCCAGAGCGGGGAGCAGAGCAGGCAGAAGGACCGAAGTACACTGCTGAGGGGAGCAGCGGGCGGCAGGAGAGGTCTGCGCGCCATGTGGGATCCTCCTCCGGTGGCCGGGGAGCAGCCAGGATCGAACCAGCGCTGCAGAGGCTGTGGGCAGCTTCGCAACCCAGCGCTCAACCGCTGCACCACTGGGGAGGCCCTGTTATTTCCGTTTTTATATGTCTGCTACTAAGCAGAAGAATTATTTTTGAACTAAATGAACTCACGAGTAGACTTGTTGGGGCGGTGAGGGAGCAGGAAACCTATTTAAAAGCAGCAACTCACCCTGTCAAAGAGGGTGCCCTTCATTTAGCCAAAAGCTTTCTGAATGTCCAACAAGGGAATATCTATGTGTATTTGCTTTTTTTTGTATTTCAGTCTAATTCCAAGCTGAAGTTGGTACGCAGCCTGGCAGTGTGCGAAGAGTCCTCAGCCCCATTCGCTGATGGACCACTAGAAACCCAGGTAGGTTCTTTATAATGTAACTTTTGAGCCTGACAGTTGTTTGGTAAATGGTAGTATAGCAACCACAGTATAAACACTAGTTTTGGAAATCAGGAGCTTCAGAACAAGTTGTTGCAATAAAGCAGGACTGGAAATATAGGTCCTCACACTTGGACCACCCAAGATGATGCATACAAGAACATCCCAGGACTGGGTCTTGTTTTTCCACCCACGCCTTTCCCCTCTAATGGTTAGAACCATTTTCATCCAATTCCTATGCCAGAACAGCCAGTGTAACTTGAACTCTCCATATAGCAGACTGTGATTATTGACAAAATAGGATTGACTTTTACCCTTTTGGTACTATGAGTGAGACCATCCGGTATTTTTCTTTTTCTTTCTGGCTTATTTCACCGATCAACAAGCAACTATAAACCAGAGACACACAGGAAGGGGGGGAGCGGCGATGGGGAGGAGGGAGTAGGATCAAAATAAGGGGGGTGGGAATTGTATGGGGACTATAACCAAGATGAAAATGCATACATTGTGCAAAAATGGAAAATGATGTAAAAAATATATAAAATTTAAAAAAACAAAAAACCAAAGGCTGACAGAATTTAGTTTTAAAAAAGTCCTCTTCTATAAGAGCATGCTGATGCCCCAACATTTGCCGCTTTGAGACTTCAAGGGAGCTGTAGGAGACTTTAAATCTTTGTTTCCCTTTGCTTATATTTTTCCCCTTTTCCAAGGATATAATTCAGTTGCATATCAGCTGCCCCTCTGACAAGGAGGAAGAGAAGTCCACGAAGGATGTCTCTGAAAAGGAAGACAAGGACAAAAATAAAGAAAAGGTTCCCAGGAAGATGCTGTCTAGAGGTGAGGACTTTCCCTCTCTCGCCTGTCCTCGGACCCCACTCTGCAGCTCCCTTTCCTTCCATTTTGAAACCTGGCATCTGCTACTTTTAGTGCCTTGACAGTGCAGCGTCCTGCTTAGGGAGGTTGCTAACAACCCGCGTGGTTACCTGGGGAGAGGCCCAGCTAAGTGACCGTCTTTGCTACTGCATCCAGCCCTGCTTTTCCAGGGTAAAGAGAGCCAAAGAGAGCTGCTCCATCTGCCCTGGCCCAAAGGACATTGTAGTTGATTCTGATTTTATATGTGGCCTGGAATAAATAGTAACATGGGTCATTATTGGTAGCAGATTCTGCCAATCCCATTTATATGCTGGTCTTAAGACGCCTGAAGTAAATTTTTCTTTTTTTTTTTTAAATAATGCAGTTTTGTGTCTAATCATTATGCTCTCTTTGTATTTAAATTCTTGGGCTAGTAGAACAAAGGCACGGGTCATAAAGATGATAGCTGAGAGGAAAAAGAATCCTTGAGATTAAAATTTTGAATTTACAAAGTGAATGATTTACATAATAATATTTGAGCATATATGCTGAGATTCTGGAAAATTCCTCACTGACTGCCCTTTCCTGGAATTTACTTTCCTTAATTAGAATAAAACCTGCTTTGTCAGTAAATTCTTATTAGTGATGAGATAGCTTTTCATTGTGATGCTAATTCAACACTGTGACCCTAGCATTATCATGGGGAGCTTGGGGGGCTGACAAATCAAGATCATTTTGATGTTCAAACTAAAACATCTGAAGTTTGATTCTGTTTTCCTGTTTTCATCTCTCCTGAGCAGGTTGTTGGCTTCTGCTTGGGATCAGATATCATGCAACACTTTCATTTATTTTAAATTTCTTTTATTGTGGTGGTTCTAGACTCCAGCCAAGAATACACAGACTCCACTGGAATAGACTTACACGAGTTTCTTGTAAATACACTGAAAAAGAATCCAAGGTAATAATATGAGTTTATGGAAGGGGGGAAGGGGCCCAGGAGTCAGCAGGATACCCAAGAGGCTGGTAGTTTCTGTTATTAGAATCTGGAATACCACCACCATGGTGGCTGGTCCACACCACCATTTCCCTCCAATGAAATCTTATATTCTGTGAGGGATTCTGAATGCTCTCATATTGAGCTTTTGCTTTTAGAAGAGATGAGAAAAATTCTGTGGACAAAGAATGCACAGGTAGATACGAAGGCATGGGAGTGCAATTAAAAAGCACAGAAGAAAAAGTAATTGCTTGGTACATGAGCTAAATCATAATGATTTAAAAATTCTATATGGAGCCAGATGGAATATAGAATAATGATTAGATTTACAAGTATGATACATGTTTCTGTGAATATGATTGCCAGCAGAAATAGGTTTCAGATATGAAAGCAAAGTACGTGATTAGGTAGACCTGCAAAAATATATATTTGTCTGATTTTCGTTTTTAAAATAACATAGCACAGGCCAGTGGGGCTCCACAACCTCAGCATTTTTAGTCCATTATCGGGCTTTGGGTCCCTCCCTCTAGCTTCAGTAGTGAGTAGATTGTGTTTTCAACCCTCATTTTTCTATGTCTGCGGGAGGGCTACTTTTGTTTTTGTTTTTGTTTTCTTTTAATCTTTTCTAAACAGGGACAGAATGATGCTGCTAAAATTAGAACAGGAGATTCTGGAATTTATTAATGACAACAAGTAAGTTATTTGAATGAAATACATAGGTGGGAGGGGGCACTAGAAAGAAATTTAGGTACAATTTTAGTATATCCTTCCATCTTTCCTTTAAAGTCTGAATTTTGAGGTAATTACTCACTGGCAACCAAAAGGAGTTGGGAAAAGTAATCAGAGTGGATGAAAAATTGTATGTTTGAAAAACAAGTGAGGTTTTCATCCTATAAGCTTGCGTTGCAAAGAAATATATTTTTTCAGCAGCTCAACCTTGTCCCATATTTCATTGTTCTTAAATCTCTCCCTTTTTCCTGGTAGAATGTCATGTAGATGGGTGACATCTAGGGCAGCCAGTAGACCAGAGTGCTCCGTGAAATACTATAGATGAAGAAACTGACAGAACCTTTTTGGTTCCCATTGAGTAAATCTCTATCTTCCTTATAAGGAATTTATTTCTCCTAAGAAATCCCCCCACTTTAGACAGTTACAAAAAAAAAAAAATTACACTTGACTGTTACTCCTATTGTTTGTCTTATTTCACTTTTTCCCCCTGGGGTTTTCTTCTAGTAACCAGTTCAAGAAGTTCCCTCAGATGACCTCATATCACCGGATGCTATTACATCGGGTAGCTGCCTATTTTGGGATGGACCACAATGTTGATCAAACTGGAAAAGCTGTCATCATCAACAAAACCAGTAACACAAGAATGTAAGGGAGGAAACCCCAGATGGAGAAGCTCCTGGGGTAGCTTTTGGGTGGAAGAGGAAATTGCAGGTTCACAATGTCTCTTCTGGGGAGGTGGACAATGTAGGGGGTCATATTATCAATTCCTGCTATTTGTGGTGCCTTGTAGAGAGATTTTAGAGTCACTGGTGTGTCATTAAGAACAGTCATGGCCTCTCTTCACCTATCGAACAGGTACAACTTTGGAGGAAGATAAGTTAGGGATGTAGAAAGAACAGACCCTGAGGATTTTATTAAAACATTCGTGTGAGGTTTTGGATATCTGACTCCAAAAACCTTGAGTGGGAGTTGTGGAAATGAAGAGAGTTGTACTAGAAGCTCTGCTTCCTAACAAAAGGATCTTATTCCTCCCTTCCTTTCACATTTCTCTCCCAATTCCAGCCCTGAACAGAGGTTCTCAGAACATATAAAGGATGAGAAGAATACAGAATTCCAACAGAGATTTATCCTCAAGAGGGATGATGCCAGTATGGACCGAGATGATAATCAGGTGAAGAACGGAAAGGGGTGGGTGTTTAGAGAGAGACTGCAGTAAGAGAAACTGGGAGGGGAGACTTTTTGTGGGATAGAGGAAATTTGAAATATATTAGAATGGAAAAATGTAATGAGCTATACTGAGTTGACGTTGGCTTAATTGAAGACTGACTACACTGTTGAGCTGAATGCCACCTTCTTAGCCCAGAGAGACATGGTGCTGAGGTTTGCTGGGTTTTCTCATTTGGCCTGAAACTCTCAGGTTCTGCCACTGATTCCTAACTCCCTGTCATTTTGGGGCAAAACCAGGTCCCTCTCTGCCTCAGCCTTGATTCAGCTGATGATTCATTCTTTTTTCTTTAACAGTTAGGGATTTCTTTGGGTGCCACAAAAGCTACTTAATCCCATTTCCACTCTTACTCTAGCTTAGCGCCAGTCTTGGATTGGCAAAGTTGTGATCTAATTTACCCAATTATAAAGGTGTTTCTTACCCCTTTCTACGACTCAATCTTTATCTTTTCCCAACTCCTTCTACCAAGGTGAGTGGGTTAATTTGACTTTTATGCTGGGAACCTTGGGCAGTAGCCCTTTTTTATTCACTCCACTGGGAATAAGAAGTGAAGACCTATCGGATCTCTTCATTTATGGGCCTGGCTGATGCCTTATTTCTAGCCCGCCCTTGAAGAGTTAGTTTTAGTAGTCACACTACAGGGCTTACATCCAGCCTGCTTCTACTTGGTCTCCAAAGGCAGTTAGTTGGAGAACCAGGATTAGTGTTTGAAGAGCATGGTTGGATAGAGCCAATGTGAGTCTTGCTAATTAATGATAACTATAACAATACCTTAACTAGAGTAAAATGAGTTTCCTTGGGATATTGTATGGTCTTGAGATTAGGACTTTTCCTGCTTGTATTTGAGGGAATCCTCTTGAGAAAAGTGTCATTATCTATTGTGGACAAACACACTGGGTCTGATTGAAAAGAATGAAACATACGAAGTGACAAAATTTGAAAAACAAGAAAGAGCCTTTCCATCCTGATGCCCTTCTCTGCGTTTTTCCCAAACCTTGTTCCTGTGGATCAGGAATTATTCAGGCCTACAGGCATATTGGGGCGGAGTAGAATCTGTCTCTGTTGTGAACTTTCCATCTCTCACCTTCCAGGCTTAACCCATAGTAGGGTATATGCGCTATGCATTTCGTGATACTACTCATGAAAACAGAAATTGTTATTTTAGAGTGTTTCCCATGAACTAGACTCCATCCAAACACAATATATACACTCTCTGTTGTAATCCTCTCTACAACCCAGTGTGAATGGGAGCTGTTAGCCCACTTTAAATATAAGAAAACTGAGGCTGAGAGATGTTAAGCTACCTGCCTGAAGTCACATCACAAAAAGATGACAGTGCTGAGATTTTGCCTGACCTCAAGTGCGTGACATGCTTTCCAACCCCCCACCCCACCAGTGCTGGCTTGCCAGTGCTGGGGCTGAGGACATGTAGCACGGGAGGTCCTGTGTCTTCTTGGAAAGAGATTTGTAAAAGGACAGTAGAATTTACTAGTGAGAACTAAATCTAGTCAGAGTTGATCTTGCTGAGGTGCTGCCTCCCTAGCTCTAGAAACTGGTAAAGATCAGGAAGATCAGCGTAGAACAGCAGGGTTTTGGTTGCTTCACCTGAAGCTTTCAAAGCCTCTGGATTGAAGGTCAGAACCTTTTATAGCCTTTTGACAGTGATTTGATAGATTATCTCCCTCATAGCTCTTTGCCTTCAAGAGCAGCGTGGAACGGACACTCACCAGGACAGTGCTCACAGCCCACAGGCTTAGAAAAGGGTCAGAACGAAGGGCTGGTGGCGGGCTCGCCCAAGCTGCTCACTGCCCAGCCACCCCTTCTCGTCACCTCGCTGCGTTTTCCAGAGAATGTGAAGTTCTCTGTTCTCCGATTCCTCTTCCCTCTGTCACGCTCCTCCCTCCTCCCACCATGCCTTACTTGTGTGTTCTGTCCTCTGTCCCTCCTCCTTTCTATACTCTTCTCCTTTTCTCCCTTCCTCTGTGTTCTGTTCTCCTCTTTATTTCTGTAACTTCTCTCTCTCTCCCTCCCTCTAGTGACCATAATTAAGATGATTTAAAAAAAATGCTTGAGCTTTGAGTTTAGCTTCGCCCTTGGGATTTTGTTTCCAAGGCCCTCTTCGCTGAGCTGTGTGAGACTCGGGTCTTCGGGCCACGGCATTAGTGAACTAAAAGAAGGGACACTGTCAAGAGCTAGTTCTCTAAAGCTCTTTTCTACATTTTGCTGTACTAAATTCCCATTTCTCTCCCCATCTAACTTCCACTTACGCCTTGCTTTCCCTCCAAGTAATGTTTATTCCCTGAGCTAGTCTCTTGAGCCTTACTGACTGGAGTACTTGATCACTACAGGAAAGCTCCCCACTCCTTGTAAATAGTAGCTGTTCTTGATACTCTGGGGGATGGGGGGAGATGGAGAGGCCCCGACCATCCAGAGACGCTGCTCTCCCAAGCTGCATGGTCAGACGGACCCCGTGAGGCCTGTCCAGCACTGGGGATTTTCTTTTTTTTTTTTTCCATTTTTTTTTTGATGGCAACTATAAACTCTCCCGGTTTCTCTTCCTTGCTGGTGTGCAGTGAGCTTGCAGTACGAGGAGAACTTAACTAGCTTAATTCTGCTCATCGATCTAGATCAGAGTTCCATTGCAGGATGGAAGGAGGAGCAAGTCAATAGAAGAGAGAGAGGAGGAATATCAAAGGGCCCGAGAGAGAATATTTGCCCGAGAGGTAAGTGTAGCTTCCGAGAGTTGTCAGCCCATAGCTTGTAGCTCATAATCTTTGGAACTGTGAATGGAATGAACCCTCCATAAATGTTTTGTTGTGTTTTGTTTTTGTTTTTTAACCAATATCAGCCAGCCCCATATTTGATCTCTGAAATTAAATGTGGCCTCTTGGAAAGCTGCAGATGTTTATTTGTATTATTTTAAATGCGTCTGCCATCTGGCATTCAGAGAGAACAAGTGGAATGGCTGAAATTGGTAAATATAATTAGACTGAACTTAGAAATCATTTTGGCAGGGCTTTTGATGCAAGGGCCCTAAATCTTGCCTGTCAAACCCTCTTCTCGCTTACCCTTTCTCACTTCCACTGTCTGCTATAGGCAACTTTGCTTCTGTGTGGAAGAGTAGTGTCCGCACAGCCTATGTATTCATCTTGTTTGGCAAGCCTCGTTTTTAGTATATGTTGGCGATTGTTAGAGCACAGATCTGGCATCCATTCTCCGAGCGCCACATTCCACATGCACAGAAGGTGCCATCTACCATTCCCTCCAGTCTCTCCCTTACAGGAAGTGTCTTTCTTCCTATATTCCTTACCTTGCTTCTGAGAACAGGACTGACTCCATGGGCCAAGAGATAACATGAATCATTTAGGCAGCTTTACTCTTAAGAATTGTGGGCCATATCAGATGCCCTTGTATCAGGTGCCCCTGTATTGGTTGGCCTTTGTTTACCAGACTGCTGAGAGAAGTATAGAGGGATTTCAGAAAAGGCTTTGGATAGACAGGAGAGGAGCTAACTTCTGGAAAATGTGGTAGACAGACAGTAGCACCATCCCAGGTCAAATTAACAACAAAGGAGGAAGAGCCAGCCTCCCTTCATTGTCAAAAGATGGCCACTGCTAATCAGCATGCATTGGTGGACCTCACGCCTCGCATTTCCTGACTTTCCCCTCCCTCAGCAAGACCAAAAAATACACATCTTTTCTCACCACCTAGCTCTGACAAACATTGTCTCTAGCTACAAGAAAACTGAATTCCTCCATGAACTTGTTCCATTGTCTCTGGAGACCCAAGCGCTCCAAGGATCCTCACTGAGGACAGATACACAGCAAATCTTCTAGCCCGAAGTTCAAGGAGAAGGAATTGTCTTACCTTCTCTTATACAGACTTCCACTCTGAGTCAGAAAAATCCGTCCTCCAAATTATCCAGCCACAGCCCCAAGAGGGTTCTCCACCTTTACCTGCAAATCACTTGGGTAGAGTGAGAGGAGAGTTGTTTGTACATGCCTGTGGCCAGGGACAGCCCTAAAGTGTGGACAGTGCAGGTTGGTGGGTGATAGCAGCAGACATTTAATAGTGCTTACTCTCTTCCAGACACTGTTCTTAGCACTTTAATTTATGTTAGCACTGTAATTTATGTAATCCTCACCCTACATCTAGGAGGTAGGTTACATTATTTACCTAATTTTATAAGTGAGAAACTGAGGCATAGAAGATTAAGTAGCCATCTAAGATCACACTACTAGTTAGGGAAGAGATGATATTTTAGTTCAGGCAGAGACCGTGCCTTAACTCCCAAAGTAGACAACCCCGGAATAGCTAAATCTGCTCTTGGCGCTTTAGATTAAGAAGTACCAGTGACATCATTGGCAGCTATCTGGGGTGTGCGCCTCTGTGTCACTGGCACATGGACTATGACTGTCCCAAAAAGCCAGCCTTTAACAAAGCCACACATATTCTTAAAGTACAAGCAACTTTTAATAGGGCATTGGACTAATTAACAGCACTGGGATATATATAACTACGACCGTAACAAAATTAAAGTTAGCTCTTCTCTCGAGCTTTTTCCTGATTTCTAGTCTCTCAAGCCTCTACTAAAAGTTGTGTTCTTTGTGAAATCTTTGTAGATTTATCACTTCCATTTCAGCATGTCCTAACTCTTGCTGTGATAGAGGTATCAGGAATCCCTGATGGTCTGGACCAGAAAAATCCCAAAGTCCACCATACTCCAAAGATTCCTGGGTGGGATCAATCAAAGCCAATGACAGAGAACAAGAGTGGTGTGGTAGCGGGGTTGGAGGAGCGGGAGAGGCAGGCAAAAAGAAAGGGAAGTGGCAAGAAGGGTGTTTGGATGGAAATGCTGCTGCTGCAGCCTCTGGAGCCGGAGCTGGGTCTGGGAAAGCTGCCCGACAGGCTCTGCTCTGCGCGGCACCCGCTCTGCCCGGCAGCTGGACACTCGGTGCCTTCCTTCCGAGGCATGGGAGTCCGCCTTAATGCTCGCTTCACTCAGCTCAGTGGCTTTGTCAAGAAATGATCCCTAAAAGGAATGTATCAGGCCTTCGATTTTTTTTCTTGGCTCTGGAAAATACCTGCTTCCCCAGTTTCTTACTCTCCTTGACTCTCAGGTCAAAATGTCTTTCATTGTGGCCTGTGTGGAAGACAGAAATGAATAGTCATTGAGGCTGATTTACTAAAAAAAAAGCTAATTTTCTTTCTCTTGTCTCCGTTTTCCCTGCCTGCGAACATACTCTTTAGGACCAAGCACATCAGTTGTTATGCTCAACTTAGCTCTAGAGAGAATAAATTTAGAACTGAAAAGGGAACCATAGCTTGGTTAATACTTTCTTCTTTCTCCTTTCCATACTCCTGCCTTTCTTTATCAACCTCTCTTTTTAAACATTCTGTGGGAAGGCTCAAAAAGCCAAGTGCTTTTTCCCATTAAAGGTGAGAAGTCAGGTGGGTGTGTGGGTGTGGGTCATCCTGTCCCTGTTCCTTCTCTCCCTGTTGGGGGGTGAGCTTGGTTTGAGGACTTGGGTATTCATAGCATCATGGACACCCTTTTCGGTTATGCCATGCTGTTTTCTTATAAGTTATTTTCCGTTTTCTCCCCCTCACCTAGACTGGCCAGAACGGATATCTAAATGACATCAGGTTAGTACCACTTAGCATGTTCCCTGCTTCTCATTGAGCTTTGTCAGTGAGGTTAATATAATCCTGTAATGATGCTTTTCTTTGATGTTAACCAACAGACTCTCCAAAGAAGCCTTTTCTTCTAGCTCTCACAAGAGAAGGCAGATTTTTAGGTACTTCTGTGTGATCTCTATTTCTTGGGGGTTTTTTGTTTGTTTTTTTCAGTTTTATTTTGTTTTGCTGTAATCTTTTCAGCGGAGTGAGTTTGCTCCATGCATGGCTGCTTGTGGAATAATTCAATTTGTGTTTTTTGTAACATTGGATATTTTTCCCCATGAAAAAAATGGCTTCTGCGCAATTGTTTTATTTTTATTGTTGCTGACTTCAAGTTAAATCCTGGGTAGGTGGTAAAGGGTATATCTGGGATAGGTACTGGCCCAAATAGGTATATCTGGGATAGGTACTGGTTCCTCCCAGAAGTTTGCTGGAACTGGGCACTTGGGGAGGATTTGAACATTTATTACGGTAGAAGAATGGATATTTTCTAGCTATCTTTACTTCACCGATGGAAAGATTGGAAGAGCTTATCCCTAACCCAGCATAGGAAATATTTTGTATCTCTAAGAACGACTCCATAGATGTACAGATATACATGCAAACACCCCGTCTGTGTAGTTTTCTCTTGGGTCACTCTCTGCCTTAGAAGGCTCTTAGAACATGCCCTTCATGTGGCTGTCCAGTGACTTGCTCTTAATGTTGGTAAAAACTGATGTACTAGCTTCTCCCATGCCTGGTTCCACAAAGCAGTCATGGGCATCTCCCGTCCATTTCAGTCCCTCAGTCCCAGCCCAGAGGATTACACAAGGTGATGAGAAGAAAAGCACTACTCTAGGGTACCGTCCCTGCACCACCTCACTTAAAATAGACTCTTCCCAGTGCCCCAACAGCAAACTATAGAGGACAGAGAACCTGACCATTCAGTACTGAGACCCCCATCTGACCCTCTCCCACAGGCTTCTCTCTGTGAACCCTAAACTGGATAGGCAGTGGCTGACTCACATTAACGAGGGTTCTCACTCCCAGTAGTTTAGTTGCCCTCCTCTGTTGTCCTTTCCAAAACTTAGTCAACTTGTGTGAAAATTAGGACTGAGCTTTCCCTTTCTTGGGATACAGCATTTAGCTCCCTCTCCATATCTCCGAACTCTTTGTCCTAGACCATCCACCCTGACGCCCGGTTGAAAGGCCTGCGCAGAGAGGGCTCTGCGTCGTTGGTGGTGGCCAAGATAGATAGAGGTCCCCCTTGGGGGGGAAAAATCCTGGCCCATAAGGGTCATAATTATTCCAGAATATCTATAATAAATAGAAGCTTTAGGTTAACTCTGTTTTAGGTTCACTCTCTGTGAATTAACACACGGTGCTTCGTGGTTGCCCAGTTCACTGTCTGATTCAGTTCTCAAGTGCTGATTGGGTAAGCTGATTTACATGTAAGAAAACAGAAGCAGAGGGATTCAGTGGCTAGGCCAGGTTCACATGGCTATTAGTGGCAAGATTGGAACGGACTCTGTCCTGTGCTCTTTCCACCATATCACACCATTACCCCTTCTCTGAGTAGTGTTCCGCACAGGGCCCTCGTTTACACTTACTGCTAAGAACAATGCCCTAATAGTGCGGCGAAGCTTCAGACTAAATCAGACTGTGCAGATGACAGCTGACAGGAGCCGGCGAGCAGGTGCAGCACTCTCCTGTCCAGAACACCTTTTAAGCTGCTGCTTTCCAAACTGAGTTTTGATTCAAGGTCTGTGTCATCTAAAATGCAGCTTCATGGACTCCTAAGTGGGTGCTAGTGTTTGGGTGCTAGTCCAGAGCTCCAGTGATTAGATGCTGATCTTCTCAAACTGCTTTATATCTTTCCTCCTAAGTGTGTGAAACAAATACCAGTACATCTGATTCCATCATCCACATTGGCATGACTGTGGCAACTTCCTAATTCTTTGGAAGGTTCTACTGCACTGAAAAATAAGCCACAATAAAGCTTACTAATATTTATTGTCATTTCTTCTATGGTCCTATCTACCCATTCCCTAGACCCAATAAACTCAGCTTTTTACGAGCACTGCATCTACTAAGTCAGTAAAAACTAATTCAGTTCTGATCTCACAGGGCTGAGGTTTGCATGCTCTCTGTCCTCCCCTCGCTCTCCAGCATGCACCCAACCCCGTGCTCAAAATCAAGGCTGCTAACTTTCCCCACTTACCTTATTTTTAATGACGCAGAAGGACATGGCTAGAGATTGGGCGTGTAGAAAAGGAAATCTGATCTCTTTCCTGGCCACGACGCCACTTAAATTCTCTAACTCAGGGGTATGGTGTATTCAGTACCGGGTTAGTCAGGGTCATCAGACAGTCCACATTGTGAGCACTTGGCCACCGCTGTCCTGGGGGAACTGGATGGTTATAGAAGTACTGTCACTTTGGCAAAGCTTCCTGGGAGTGTTTGGTTTAAATTTGACTCATTCATTGTCTGCCTCATGTAGAGAAAGAAAATAAATGGCAGAATTGTCCTAATAGCTAGCTAGTATGGTGGTTGATTCGGTGTAAAATACCGTTAGGATTTATCTTGCAAAATTCACACTCTCTGTCTAATGAGCAGCCTCATCCATTGCCATTGCTGTATCCCCACATGCCCACACATCTTTATTGGATCCTCTCCATAGGCTTGCCTTTGTCCATGGAGACAGCTATTGGCTCTCACTTCAAGTCTCGTTCTGTTCCTGGAGAGTCCCCGATTTATATTTCTTTCTTCCCATTCTACTTTTGACATCCCAAAGAGAAAGGGTAAAGTTATGGGGTAACAGGAATATTTTCTAGTCCTCTATTATGGTGCTATAGAGAGAATAATTGAGATTATATGTGCATCCTCTTGGGATTCAGAAAAGAATCAGCATGTTCCTGACCAGCTGTGCCAGTATGTTTGTAGATCACTATGGTTGGCTCGGCTAAAAACTAAAATAATGACCTTTGCATACATTTTGCCCGTTTGCCCTACAATGCCTTTAAAGCAGATACTTCTCTTTTTTTTTTTTTTTCTTTTTTTTTAAAAAAGATTGATTTATTTATGCACACAAGAGCTGGGGCACAGGCCAGAGATGCGGGGGGTGAGAGGACTCACCAGAGACAGAGTGGGGAACAGAACAGGCAGATGGACTGAAATCCACTGCTGAGGGGAGCAGCGGGTGAGTCAGGAGAGGTCTGCTGCGCCATGTGAGTTGCTTCCTGGCCGGCCAGGGATCGAACTTGTGCTGCAGAGGCTGCGTATTGCCTCATAGTGCTGTGCTTAACCTCTTGTGCCACCAGGGAGGCCCTGGAGCAGATATTTCTAATAAAGAAAGGTATTTTCTTTAATATTACCTCCTTAAGGAAAAAATGCCTTTTTTTCCTTGGAATAATTCTGAGCCCGTCTTTGGAGCTAAGGGACCGGGATGGGATTTTGTATTTGCCTTAGTGGAAAGGAGAGAACTACTATGATTTTTGCTTAATTGCTCCCCTGTACGTGCCAGAATCTCGGTAATTGTTGTCGTTTGGTTTCCTTAGGTCTTTAGTTGGGGGTGGGAAATATGAAAGGATAATTCCCTGTTCTTACTGATTAAAAAGCAACAACAGCTCAACAAGACTTGGGGGCTTTCGAGCCAACCCCAGCTATCTCAAGGAATACAGCCGTTTAGAATCACATGCAGCGATTATACTGTCAGACAACCCTGGTGCTTCCAGAGCACAGTAAGACAGGAAGGAGCCCATTTCTCGTGGCACGTGCCTTGCCAAGTGCAGCACACTGGTCATTTGCAGGTAACCCGCATAGTCAGCACCCCCGCTCCTTGCCATCCTGGCAAAGATGATCCCAGTGTCTTAGTTCTTAGATCACGCTGAGGACATTAGCCCTGAGAGACCCCACAACCATTTGTTCCCAGATACCAAAACAGAACTTCCAGAAAATGGGCGGGGTCAATTCCAGGCTATCAGCCTGAATATTCACAGTGTCAGTTTAGTCCACTGTTCTCCGTCCTTGGAAAAGTGACCCTTAGCAGCATCTCTGCTGGCACAGGTACCTGTTCTGTGGAAGATGTGTTGTCGAATTTCTGTCATCGGCCTCTCCTACCTTCTAGCAATAGTAACTTCTAGTAGTCTTAAAAAAAAAAAAAAAAAAACAGGAACTCCAGAAAGAGCCGGTACGCCTCTGCTCACCACTATTTCCTGCATGTGTGGGATCCCCGCAAGGTTGGGAAGAGACCACAGCCAATCTCAGCATCATGTGTGTGGTTTCCCGTCCACCTCTGGTCTGATGTACTGAATTAGTTGCCAGTCGCTGTCTTCCAGATTTGCCTCTGTTCTCTTTGTAACTATCCGGGACCTTGTTCTGTCTGCTCCCATCAAGTCTTGGTTGGCCAGCCAATAAGAAGTCAGTGTCCATCCTCGCCCCCAACCCTGACCCCTTCCTTGTTACTGAAAGAATGGAAATGCCTCTCTCCCAGCCCTTCTGCCGAAGTGGTCGGTGGGGAGGGCTCTGACCGCTGTGCTCTCTGCAGGGGGAGCCGCGATGGGCCAAGCCGCACCTCGGGCAGCCGCCAGAGCAGCACAGACAGCGACCTCAAGTCCCTGGAGCCGCGGCCCTGGAGCAGCACCGACTCGGACGGCTCTGTTCGCAGCATGCGGCCCCCTGTCACCAAAGCCAGTAGCTTCAGCGGAATCTCTATCCTCACCCGGGGCGATAGCATTGGAAGTAGTAAAGGTGGCAGTGCGGGAAGGATCTCCAGGCCAGGTATCACGCCTTCTCGCACTCCATGTCATGCAACATTTCTTGCTTGTTTTCTGCAAAACATCACTCATACTTTTAAAAAAACACTTGTCCTCGAGACCTGACACAACCAGGGAAAATTTGACTTTTTGGATCCGTTGCTTTTATCTGATTGCTAACCAAGGTGGGACGGCTCCATCGGCCCAGGTTCATGCTGTTTACTAAAATGAGGATGATAGTTGCTTTCATTCTGTGGCTTTTGATATTATAAAGAGGGTTGGTAGAGCAGAGGGAACCCTTAAAGTTTAGCTGTTTTTATTTAATTGGTAGCCGCCTTTGGGCTGGAGTTTTGAGAGATGCTGCTGTGGCGGCTGCTCGGAGCCCTGTCCCTGGAAGGATCGTGAGGCCCAGCCCTCTAACCACCCTTCCTGCCCAGCTCTTGCATCTGCACGCAACGTTCCCCATCTGCTGCTTTCTTAGCAGAAGGATATGTAGCTCTCTTTACTCAGCCTCTGTTTCCAGCCTCCTTTCTCTGACGATGGCTACATCTCAACCAGTTCTTTTTCACCACCACAGTAGACAGTGGGAGTGAAAATTTCGTTCTTTTAGGTCTCTTTGTTACCTCCTGTGCAATCCCCCTGCCTCTGGCTTTATTATCTAGACCTTTATCTTTAATTCAAGTAAGACACTAGCCCCAAGCTGGCTTCCCTGCTGCATCCTCAACGCTTTTTGGAGCCAGTTTACCAATCTAAAAGATAGGTCTAAGTCACGTCAAAAAAGCATTCATGCTTCAGCATTCCTGCATAATAAAACCTAAATTACTTAATGCAGCATAATTTCTTGACTCCAGTTTGCTGTTTCAGCCTTATTTCTAGGTACCTATCACCCTGCAGCTCTCCAGCCATTTCTTGAATATGGTATTAACTTTGTTTCCTCTTGGTCTGACAAACCCAGTTATCCTTCAAACCCTTCTCTCCTGCCACTTCTGTAAATTCTTCCGGGAGTTAATGCTCCTCATTTTGCTTTCACATGACTTTGTTCGTATTACTAATGTAGCCTCTGTCCTTATAGGAAGAAACTGTGTGTGTGTGTGTGTGTGTGTGTGTGTGTGTGTGTGTGTGTGCTTCCATCTCCCTTTGGAAAATCCTGTGCTGCAAGGACCGTGTTCCCTTTACCTTTGTGTTCATCACACAATGTCTGCGTATAATGGATATTCAGTAAAGTAATTTGTGTAAATATGTGCATGGGTTGGAGGGTCTGAAAATGGGAGAAACAGTTGGGTGAAGGGTCTGTGTATGTGTGTACCTGTGCTTATGCTCGGAGAGGCAAGCTTGCCTTCTCAGAAACTTATATCTGCAAGTAGAGAAGAGTTCGAAGAGAAGAGAAGACAGGTATCTTAAGATAACAGGTATTTTAAGATACAGACCAGGCTGTGTCTTTCCAGGAAGTGAACATTCGTGCTTTCAGCTGTCTAGTGATGATGGGCAGATTCTAGGTACTTAATGGGGAAGTTGAATTTTGTTTAATTCCAAAACCAAACACTGACAGTCAAGGTGGCTGCTGTCCCTGGGCGGCAGAGGCCTGCTGAGGTAAAGAGTTGCGTCAGCAGAGCAGCTGGATGCCCTGTGCTCGTGTGTGGGCCCTCAGGGTGGCACGTTATGGCCTGTGCTTACAGCTCTTGACTGGGTCTCCTCTTTGCCGTAGGTATGGTGCTAGGTGCCCCAGAAGTGTGCAGCCAGGTCACCTCCTCCCAGTCTGTCCGGGGCCTTCTCCCGTGTGCTGCCCAGCAGCAGCAACAACAACAGCAGCTTCCTACTCTCCCACCCACGCCTCAGCAGCAGCCACCCTTGAATAACCACATGATCTCACAGGTGAGTCACCCTCATGCCGAAGCCCCTCACTCTGATTCACACAAGCTTTGGAAGTGTATCTCTGTGCTCCCGGCAGCGGGAAAGACCTGTGTTTGGAGACATGCCACTCCCTCACTGGTTTCTCATTTGTTGGTTTTGGGGAGAACAGAGAGAAAACAAAGATGTGGTTAGTAGTTAGCCCAGGAGTTTTTTTACTTGATATTTCTTTCTCTTCCTTTTGAGGATTATCAGTTAGTTCTTTCACCCCATCCCACATTTCCTCTATGCCCCGTGTCCCTCTGCCGCCTATGTAGCTAGCAAGGGACTGTTGCTCGCTGGATCCACATATGGAGCTTGAAGAGATCACAGCTCTCACGATAGTCGGACTGGGTGTGTTCATGGGACTGTTGACCCCATAAACATTTACCTGTCAATGATTTGGGGGCACAGAAAATACCACTCAAGACCCCGGCCATACGCTGCCATAGAGCAAATAAAACTCCAATGTTGTCTTTGTTTCCCACACCATGAAAGAGCTCTCTTTCCTTCTGTTGCTGGACTGGCAATTGTTCGTACCAACTAGAGTGTGAGCGAAGTTTTGCTTCTGTGGAGACCGCATGAGTCATCCGCACGAGAATTAGACACTGTTCTAAACTGGAAACTCGGTATTCTATGTCGAAAAGTCTTCTTAATGCTCTAAGGGGTGCTGCGCTGAGATCCTTGCTTATTTTCTTCCATGAGAAGAGCTCTTCATTAATAGAGGCCGTACTTTGCCCTAGAGTTTCTCTGGTAGCCAGGAAGCCCTAAGTCTGCGCTCTTTCCTGCTGTTGCTGAACTTCTTGTTTCACCTCCCAGGCGCTCTCATCTCCCTGCTCAGTTAGTCCACTTGGCCTTAAATGTATCTCTTCTATCGGTGCCAGAGCCAAGTCTAAGGACTAATGATGCAGGAACTGGAAACTAGAGTGGAAATACCCAAGAATGGCTCAGTATCACCCCACGCGAATACTGTGACGTGAAACTAAAATGAAGAATAGCGAAACCTACTTTATCTTTGAATATAACCCACGTGCAGATCATTCCAGTCTTTCACCTCCGACCCTAAATCAGTTTCTCTATAGACTTGACTTTCTTCTTCAGCCACCTGCCTCATTAAGTCCCGTTCATATCTGCTCACCTTGCTCCCTGCTAAAGCATAGCATGTTTGTGTATGTTTTCTGTTGTGCCTTGATTCAGACCTTTAAGTGGGTAAACTGCTTTTCCTTCTGGCTGCCTCCTGCTGTATTTCTTTGTGCTTATGTTGTCCCTTTTCTGAGACCTCAGTATTTGAGTTTTCTAACATGCATGTACTTTAATATAGTCTTGCTCCCTTTTTGCTCCCCTTTCTGTCTTTCTCTGCCTCTTCCTTCCACCACATGTAGAAACAGAGCAAGAGTAGGAACACAGTAGAGACAAGCAGAAAGAGTAGCCATTTCAGAAAGAAAAAAACTTAGACTGAATGTCCAGGAGGCTGGCTCGAAATCCCAAACCTAACTCGGATCTGTCCCTGCCTCTGGATCATGGGCTCAGAGGGTTCATCACCAGTACTGACTGATCTCCTGCAGGGTCTGAGGTGCTGGGGTAGGGCCCATAGATTGGGGGCAGGGACATTGTTTATTTAATGCACAGGTCCTGTTCCCTCAGAAATTTACACTATTTTGTGTGGGTTTTTTTGTTTTGTTTTTTTTTTTTTTGCATGTGTCAACCTCGATATCTCTCAAAATTTTTTTTAAAGATTTATTTTTATTTATGCATGCAAGGACTGGGGTGTAGGCCAGAGGTGCGGGGGGTGAGAGTATTCACCAGAGACAGAGTGGGGAGCAGAACAGGCAGACTGTCTGAAATACACTGCTGAGGGGAGCAGCAGGGAGACAGGAGAGGTCTGCTGCACCATGTGGGGTCAGCTCCCTGGCCAGGGATGGAACTCGTGCTGCAGTGGCTGGGGATAGCTTCATAGTGCTGAGACTTTAACCCCTGAGCCACCAGGGAGGCCCTCTCTTAAATTTTTTAAGGTTGCTAATTAGTTGCTGACTTTTGTTTATTTAGTAAATTTGACATTATAACATTTAAGTTTAAAGTTTATAACATGTTACTTTGCTGCATTCATGTAATGTGATTGCCGATGTAGCGATGTTTATCTCAGTACATAATTATAGTACAATATTATTGTCTATATTCATGATATACTATGCATTAGATCTCTATGGCTCGTTAATTGTTACAAGTTTGCACCCTTAAACAGCATCAGTCTTATCCGGCACCACCACTATTTTACACTGTTTTTCAAAGGTTTAACTTACTTAGAGTCCACGTATAAGTGATACAGTACTTGTCTTTCTCTATCAGAAAATTTATAATTGGGGTTAATTGTGATCACAAGCGCCAAACTGAAAAAGCTTATTCTGGTTAAGCTTTGGTGTCTTTGAAGCACTTATGGTAACGGCTGATAGTATACACCAGCCACTGTCTGTAGTTCCTTTTCCCCTCGTCTTCCTCTTTCTTATTTCTATTTTCCCTCTTCCTGCTGCCTTTTTCTTTGTTCCACATATCTCCAAGCTCAAGTTGTTTGAACTTAAACCCCAAAACCCCAGAATACTTACTGTTCAGTTTCTCAAGTGGTATGCAACAATGCAGAGATGAAGGAAGTGACACCTCCCCCGCCACACACACACACACTCCTCCCCCCAAAGGTTTTCCTTTATTTTTTTTTAAGATTCATTTATTTATGCATACAAGAGCTGGGGTACAGGCCAGTGATGTGGGGGGTGAGAGGATTCACCAGAGACAGCGGGGAGCAGAACAGGCAGACTGACTGAAAACACTGCTGAGGGGAGCAGCGGGGAGACAGGAGAGGTTTGCTGTGCCATGTGGGTTTCTCCTTGGCCGGGGATTGAACTTGTGCTGCAGAGGCTGTGACAGCTTCATAGTGCTGTTCTCAACCCCGTGTGCCACCAGGGGGGCCCAGAGGTTTTCCTTTAGAAGAAAAGCAAAAAACGAGACATTAGCTCCAGGCACAGGGACAGTGCTGGCTAAATTAGGCTCTTTCCCTTCAGAGCAGGCTTCTGCTGTCAGAGCAGGCCTCTGTGGCAGGTATCAATAGAACTTGTGAGATCAGGGATGAGGCTGAGGATTAAAAAGCCAGTAACTAACGTACACCCAGTCACTGAACACGGGAGGGACCTCTTGGAAAGGAGGCTCTGAGTCTCACTCCAGGGGCTGGTCAGAAACCCACGCGCTTATGATGTAGCCCAGAATGCGCCAGTAGATGGCAGTCACACCCTCCACGGCCAATCTTTGGCTTCCTCAAGGTTTTTGAAAAGTTCCCTAGCCCAGGAATTTGAGATTCTCCAAGAAAAAAACATAACGGGGGGGTAGTGGTGAGATAACTTAAAAATTGCACTAAGACACCCATTTTTATCACCACCCTTCCTCGGTCAGGAGAGGCCTCCCAGAGCAGCTCATTTCTTCTCTCTTCTCTGTGACTCACACCTCACAAATGTGAGGAAAGCAGGCAGAGTTTTCCCACTTCACTGTTCCTGGGGCCACCCCTTGCCCCCCAGATATACGAGGCCTGAAGCACAATAGGCCCTTGCTCAAGAAAAAGAAGAGGCCCGGGTGGTAGGAAATGGACACAAGTAACTCCTGCTGAGCCACGTGGCAGCAGCTGCATTTGGAGTGCCACCGACAGGCAGAAGCTAGGTGTGCCAGGAGAGCTGGGCGCTTGTCTTCAAGGCTACAACATCTCTTCCAGATTCTCCATGACTTTTCTAACCAAGGTGACTTAGATTTTATTTAATCCAAACATCAGGAATATTCTCCACTAAGGCTGGAGCAGTGTCTTCTAATTCCTGGACTCTCCAGAACTGTTATGTCTCCTCTGTGAAACAGTCTCCCTGTTAATTGCCTGTGAAAAGGTCTCCCAGAGATGCATGGCAGGAGAGATTACTGATACCTTGGTCCCCAACACTCTGAATACTTGTAATTTGGAGAGAGGAGAATTACGCATACAAATAGAAGTTTGTATAATTCTGTTTGACTTTTTCTTTCACCCTCTCCCTGCTGCTAGGGTAGAGTGGAAAGAACATTTATCAGGCAGATCCAGGGGCGCATCGCAGTGCTGCCATGTTTGCTGTGCTCTCCTGGATGCTTGATTTAATTTCTCTGAGCCTTATTATCTTAACTGCAAAGTTACGTCTCCCTATAGGATTATTGTGAAGCCATAAAAGATAATGTATGTAAATGAGACAGCATATATAACTTATCCCCTCTCCTCCTAGCCTCTCTCCTTTCTCCCGCTCCTCCTGGCACCAGGGGCTATGACGAGAGAACTGATTAGGTGATTGAAATGACTGCAGGGGAAGAAGAGAGAGAAAAAGCATAACTCCCCATTAGTTGGTTTAGAACACACCGTGTTCCTAATAAACAAATCCTCCTGCTTGAGGCTAGTGAAGGCACTGACAGAACAAAAGCTAAAAGCAGGCTATTTATATTTTATTCCTCAGTCCTTCCCTGTTTGCTTATGAGGGTATTTTTCATCCTGCCCTCGTAGCCTGGAGGAACACAGAACAATCTTAGAGCAGGAGGAAGTAGCTAGACCCAGTCCCCCTTAACTGACTGTTTCTTCCTTCTGTGCCTGGGAGAGCAGCAGATCCTTGTGAATGAGCACTTCCTCCAGAGGGCTGGGGTGTGAAATCAGGAGCTTGTTTGGGGAGGGCTGAGCCAGACCTCAGATGACCCTTTCTACAGAAGCAGCTCAGCAGGGCAGACAATTCCTTCTCAGACGCTCGCAGAGGATTGTGATCCTGCTCCCCAGCAATGTATGTTCAGAAAAAATGCTTTTGGGAAAACTGTTTGGAATCAGGCGACGGACCCTGACTCTGAGAGTGCCGAGTTTGCTCACAAGTTCCAAGTGACTTGTGGTGGGTTAGGGTGTGCAGGGGGCCTCCTGACAGGAGAGGCTGCCTGTCTGCCAGAGATGCAGGAGCCACACCGTGTCCGGAACTTGGCCTCCAGTTCTGCTCAGCAGCCTCGATATTCATGTGAAATTTCTTCTATGGTTAACTTTGTTGTTCTTTCCCTTTCCCTCCCTGTCTCTGCCCCACTGCCTCTCCCTGTGCCTCCCTCTTTTCTTCCTTTTTCCACATGTCTCTGCTGGTCCACAGCCAGTCCCAGCTCTCCAGCCTTCTCCGCAGCCTGTTCAGTTCTCTCCGAGTTCCTGTCCCCAAGTCCTTCTGCCAGTCTCTCCGCCCCAGCAGTACAACATGGTATAAGCCCCAGCTCCGCTTTCTGTCATGTCCATGCGTGGCCTGTTTCTGTGGGTGTGTCTGGATCAGCCTGTGATAACCTTGCATAGCAGTTGTACTTTCTGGCGGGACGTGCTAGCAGGTGCTTCTCCCGAGGAAGCAGCCAGGCCAAGCTAGGCTCCATTCTAGTGACCTCATCACAGCACTTTCGGCATCAAACAATGCCTAAAGGCTAGACAAAGAGACGTGGTGAGTCCTCCTCAGATTCAGGAAGAAAATTAGTTGTTGCTCTAGCCTGGACTCTGGTCCACCGTGTGCCTCCTTGATGCACTTCTGCTCCCTGGACATGTCTGAGAACCTCTGTTTATTCTGTACAAAATGGTTCTCTTTGAAAATTAAAAAAAACTTAAAAATGTTTTTTTACATAAAAAATAATCTCTTCTACATAGCACAGTTTACATTTCCGTAGCCTGAATACCAATCCTTTGAAGACCTGATTTACCACATAGTTTTGATAACTTCTGTCATGGATATGGAGGTCCTCATTTTTGGGGGGTTTTCTCATATGTGTGTTAGCCAACCTGTCTGCTTTTTCACTTGGAATGCCCTTTCCCTCCCACTTGATGTCTGCATTCTGAAAAAACCTTTGAATATGGATTTCAAAATAATCTGTGACCCAATCCTCTTGTCATCTATTTCTGTCCACCTAGGAAGCAATATAGCTAATTTGAAGATCAGATCCCTAAAAATTGAAACCACAGGAAAGCTTCATCTGTTGCTTCTACTGGTTTCTTATGCAAAGTAGTGCATGTGTGTGTGCGCGTGTGTGCGTGTGCACGTGCACGCGCACTAGAGAGAGAAATCTGTCTCAAGTCAGAGATGGGACACCATCCCTCTTGCTGCTTAGGGAGAAGGCAGGAGGGAGGACAATTGCTGAGAACGGCTACTCTCTCCTTCCAACTTGGCCGTTAGCCCTGGCCCCCTTTCAGAGGTGCAAATTGGAAGTGGTTTCTGAAGGGCAGGAAAACTCTTTGCAAGTGTCAGAGAACAGAGGTGGAAATGACCTTGAGAGCGAGAAGGACATAAGCAGCAGGGATGAGAGCGAGAAGGACATAAGCAGCAGGGATGAGAGCCTACTTGTCTTCAAGGAAGAGCTGGAGCCTCACCAGCCTACCCACCTCTAATCTAGTCAGGGTGCTGTCTGCATCCTCTGTGTAAAAATGGGATCTAGGTCCATTGTACGGGTGGGAGCCGGAGGAAGACAGGATGTGGAAAGACAGAATCCTTTTTGTTGCCCACTAGTTTGTCCAGTTTTTTCTGTATATAGAAGTTTTGTCATTGCTCCATCTCTCCAGGACTAATTCTAATAAAGATCATATCAGAGTGGCCATGGTACCTCATGGGTGGTAGAGAGTCTGACTAGATGCTTGGGCTAAAAAGCACCTCCCAGAGCATAGTTGCAGGAATGTCCCACACTAATACGTAAGGAAAGCTGTCGAGAGGCTTGCTATTTCTGTCTGTCTGTCTGTGTTGAAGCCAGACATGGGGCTTGATATAACCTCAGTCCTTGAGTCTCCCCCACTCTCAACAGGCAGATGATCTCAGTAACCCTTTTGGACAAATGAGCCTTAGCCGCCAAGGTTCTACTGAAGCAGCAGACCCATCCTCAGCTCTGTTCCAGCCCCCACTTATCTCCCAGCACCCTCAGCAGACTAGCTTCATCATGGCTTCTACAGGACAGCCCCTCACCACTTCCAACTATTCCACCTCTAGCCACGCACCACCTACTCAGCAAGTCCTGCCGCCCCAGGGCTATATACAGCCCCCTCAACAGGTAAGAACTCAGGTTCCCAGCTTAACTCACTGACTCAGTTTGCCCAGTGTTACAACCCTTCTCTCTTCCTCTGGTGTAGACAGACTGAGGGGAATACCTCATTCCTCTCATTTCTACCTCCATTCCCCTAACTTTCACTCAAGAGTTGTCTTTCTTGGGCCTCCCCAGTGGCGCAGCGGTTGAGTGCTGGGTTGCGAAGCTGCCCGCGGCCTCTGCGGCGCCAGTTCGATCCCCGGCTGCTCCCCGGCCACCGGAGGAGGGTCCCACATGGCGCGCAGACCTCTCCTGCCGCCCACTGCTCCCCTCAGCAGTGTACTTCGGTCCTTCTGCCTGCTCTGCTCCCGGCTCTGGCTCTGGTGAATTCTCTCACCCTCCCGCGCTTCTGACTGTACCCAGTGCATGTATAAACAAACAAAAACAAACAAACAAATAAATAAATAAATAAAAACATGCCTCTATTAAAAAAAAAAAAAAAAAAGAGTTGTCTTTCTTGACAAAGGTTGTCTTACTGTATAACACATGTCCTTCCTATCCTGCTTCAGACTGGTACACTAATACAACAGTTACTGGTTTACTAATACAAGTCCCAAGTGTCTCCATTTACAGACTTGTCATCATCAGCTTTGATGCATTTAATAGTTAAGGGATGTTGGGACTGAATTTGAGGGACCCTCTCATATATCTGCTTCCTCTCACCTTAGATCCAGGTTTCTTACTATCCCCCTGGACAGTATCCTAACTCCAACCAGCAATATCGACCTCTCTCTCACCCGGTGGCCTACAGCCCCCAACGTGGTCAACAGCTGCCTCAGCCATCCCAGCAACCTGGTAAGAGGAATTGCTGCTGCAAAAGGCAATGAATAGAGGAGGGTGGAGACTGGAGAAGAGATGAGAATTGCCTTCCCTATTTAAAAAATAAATAAATAAAGGGCAAATAGTTCAGGATCCTAAAAAGGGATCCAGAATCTCCAGAAAAAAAAGAAAAGGTAAAATAGACAGAAGGGAAATTATTAATGGAGTGTGAGCTGCACACTGTTGAGACCGTGCTAATGCCTCTGTCTTGCCCCCCGCCCCCCGCCCCACCCAGGTTTACAGCCCATGATGCCTAACCAGCAGCCGGCGGCTTACCAAGGCATGATAGGGGTCCAGCAACCACAGAACCAGGGCCTGCTCAGCAACCAGAGAAGCAGCATGGGGGCCCAGATGCAAGGCCTGGTGGTTCAGTACACTCCACTGCCTTCTTACCAAGTGGGTGCATTCTGTGTTGGGAAAGATCAGCCAGTCCTTGGGATCAGGAAAAGGAGGCCAGCCTTCCAGTCTGACAACTCCAGCACTAAAATATTGTTCATGTCCCCCTTCAAAGTTTTAGTTTTTTTCTTTTGAAAGAAAGTCCAGAGAATCTGAGAAGAGTCCCTATTTAAATCGGTTGGTCTTTCTGCAGCCATGAAAATGAATATATATCCTGGCTCCTTCCTCTATGTCAGATACCCAAGGGTGATGTTTGGGGAGAGGGGATGAAGATAGCTCAGTAAGCGTTTCCTTTAGGCAGATAGGAGAAGAGGCACTCCAAGATGTAGGGAAAGAAGTTAGAGTGTCCCGGCCTGGGGATGACTAGACTGTTCTCTGGATGAACTCCTTAGTAGTACAGTGGTCATTCTCTTCTGGTCTCTATCCAGGTCCCAGTGGGCAACGACTCGCAAAACGTGGTGCAGCCGCCTTTCCAGCAACCCATGCTGGTTCCTGCGAGCCAGTCTGTCCAGGGGGGCCTCCCAGCAGGGGGCGTGCCAGTGTACTACAGCGTGATCCCGCCAGCCCAGCAGAATGGTACAAGGTAAGCACCCCAGAGGAGCACATCCCCACAGACCCTCAGCGAACTGTCCACCATGAATTTGTTTGCACCAGCCAAAGAAAATAAAGTCAAGGATAAAGATCCAGTGGTATCCTAAAGCAGGAAGAATTAAAGGGGGAGTTCATTCTCCTTATCTCCTTGTTGACATTTGCAGAAGAGCTCCTTGGCAGGTAATAATTCTTGCTTCAGAGACAGAGGCTTTATAAGTTACCCTGGTTTGGGCCTCCCTGGTGGTGCAAGAGGCTAAGACGCAACCTATGAAGCTGTCTGCAGTCTCTGCAGGTCAAGTTTGATCCCCGGCCGGCCAGGGAGCAACCCACATGGCGCAGCAGACCTCTCCTGACTCGCCTGCTGCTCCTCTTAGCAGTGTACTTCTGTCAATCTGCCTGTTCTGTTCCCCACTTTGTCTCTGGTGAATCCTGTCACCGCCCCCAGCCTCTGGCCTGTACCCCAGCTCTTGTATGCATAAATAAATAAATCTTAAAAAAAAATAATAATTTATCCTAGTTTATGTTTTTCTAATCAGCAGAATTCAGAACTATGGACTAGAGACTGCTCATTGTTAGAAGCAATTTGGACTATATATATATGTACATTTTTCTTGACACCTCAGTATTCATGGCTGAATCTCTAGTGGTCTGTCAATGTCTGTGTCGATTTATATATGTCTTGATAAAGCTCATAGCCAATAGAACTGTAGAGTGAGAAGATAGATAGTCTTACCCCCCCACTCCAGCCCACTCCACCCCTACCCCCCTTGTATTTTTCTCCTTTCTTTTATAAATAATAAAATACAGCTAGGTGTGTTAGGAAACTTACCCAAAGTCACACAGCTGGTTAAAAGCAGGGATAGAACTAGCACTCAAGTCTGATGTATTTCTCTCTGTCTCTTTCACGCTGTGTGTTTCTTTGTGCTGTCTTGAGTTTTGTGGGGGATTTCCCCCGTCTTGTCTTGGGGTGACTGTCTGTGCTTGCCACTTTGTAAATACCCTAAATCATACTCTCCTTAGTTCTTAGCACGCCCTACCCAGCACTATGTCTGTCTCTGGCACACTCTTGTGTTTCTGTTGTGTTTCTGAGAATGCGTGTGTGTGCGTGTGCACATGTGTGCTCGTGTTTGTGTCTGTTGTTTCCACAGTGTTGGAAAGAGCATGAGTCACTAACATTCCATCTGTAGCACTGATTAGCAGCTTCCTAATTGAAAGATGATCAAGTACAAATATATATAATTAACTTTGAACTGATGAGTGATTTTAGAAATTGCATGGCAAATTGGTCTGGGAATGAATAGCTTGGAGCTGCCTCAGCTTCCCACAGGGGAGGCCCAGGAAGCAGCAGCTGTTTGCCAGGAACTGCGTTCCTCCCTCTACCACCTTCCCATTCCTCTCTTCTCCCTCTCCTCAGCCCTTCTGTGGGGTTTCTGCAACCTCCTGGCTCTGAGCAGTACCAGATGCCTCAGTCTCCCTCCCCCTGCAGCCCACCACAGATGCCACAGCAGTACTCAGGTAAGAGGATGGTGGGGGGGTCTTGGGCATTGGCGAGAGCAAATGCTGTTGAGGACATGTGTTCTAGGGCTGGAGAGACAGTGATTCCCTCTGCTCCCAACTGTGACCCCAAAGTACTGGCTTGTATGTTTTCTAGGGGTGCTGAAGTTGACCTCTCAGAGAGGTGAGGTGGTTTCTCTATCCCCATAGGAAAGCTGTGAATCCACATCTCTGATTGGGTTCCTTGAGGGGTAGAGTGCGGGGGGGGGGGGGGGCGCTTGTTTTTTGTTTTTTTTGTTTGACCCTAAATCCAATATTACACTCAATAGCTCCCAAGCCCTGGAGACAAGACATGCTTATGTCATTCTTCCTGTAAATTGCGTTCACTATTTTTCCTCTCAGGAGTGTGAGGAAGGCTGCTTTTCAAGTCATAACTTAGATGTGTTTAGCAGTTTTTGTATGTGCTCAAATACATTGTATCATTTTAATTCTCACCACAGCTTTGTGAGGAGGAAATTGAAGACCCAAAGACTCAAATGATTTGCCTCAGGTCACAATCCCAGAACTTAAACTTGGGTCTTTTGACTTCCTCTGTGCTATGCTATAGCTTCAATCAGTACATTTCAACAGATTTCTGTACTCTGTTCCTTCCTTTCCAGTGGATAATAAATGGATATCATGTTAAATAGGTAAAGGCCCTCTTTGAAGGCATCAGCTATCCCAGGTGAATAGGTTTATACCACGCAGCCTTTCACCGTCTGCCTTTGCCAAGAACTCCCCCCACAACCAAGTACAGCTGCACTTGTTTGCTTCCCTTCACTGCATCCTGACATAACATTACACTGCAGTTAAAGAAAATCCAGGGCTTCTGGAGGGGAGAAAGTCTTAAATGAAGCCTCCAGTCATCTCCATTTGGCTCTGTTGTGGGAATGTCGGAGTGCCCTCTTCTGGTGTGAGGGAGGTATTTGGACTACTTTTCACAAAAGATTTTTTAAACTCTATGTTGAATGCTGTGGAGTGAATTCCAGAATTAATATTTCTTATAAGATATGAGGTCTTACCTTCAAGGAGCAATGACCTCCCTTCATCCAGACCAAACATGGTCTCCCGCAAGCTGAAAGATTTTAAATTTAATAGCCCTTACCCTTTGTTATATTATTGGCCTGCATAGCTGTTTCTCCTAGTGTCCACCAGGGATACTTGACCTTGAAAATCCCCGATGGGGTATGGAAATTTCAAAAACGAGCTCCGAGAACCCTGCTGTAGTCTGTGGTGGCGCTTGGTACCTCAGGGCATTTTCTCCCCTGTTTGTTAAAGTAAGTGTGTGTGTGTGTGTGTGTGTGTGTGCGCGCCTGTGGGCATTTTTGTGGTATGTCAGTATATCCGATGGGTCTCTGTAGTTACATCTTCAAATTCAGTGTCTTTGAATCAGCAAAAAAAAACAAGTAAAAAGAATTTTTCATTACCTACTCTGGGCCTAGTACCCAGTCTCAGAACACTGAAACAGGGATTGTTCTGAAAGCTGGCGCACTGGAGCTCTGGTCTGAAATTGGAAGGAAGTAATACAGGGTTTTTTCAAATCAGTAGGAATAAAGGAAATCCTCTTCATCATCTAGTTCCTTTGCCTCTCTGGAATTTTCTATTGTTTTTCCTTTCCTCCTCGATACCCTGGTTGACCCCGTGTGCTGCTTTGTGGTGATGGGCTGCTGTTCTACGCATGCTTGCCAAGAGGCCGCCTCACCATGCCCCTGAGCTAAATCTTCATCCCTGCACTTGGAAATCTAAGAAATGGAAGAGGAGAAACAAGTGCTCTTCCTGCCTCCCTCCCCACTTTACCCTTTACTGGGAAGACTGAAGCCAGGCCCAGCCCCCAGGACGGTTGTGTCACCTTCAGGGGGCAGTTACCCGCCCTTCTTCCCTGTAGCAACATGGTCACTTTTCCAAAAATAAAGGCAGGGATTAGGATTGGCCATTCCTGGAACAACTGTTCTGGTTTATTAATACATTTTTGTAGTTGCCCAGTTTACCTCCAGGCCTAGACTTTAATTCTTCCACTATACTATCAGATATAACATAACCCCAGGAAACACTTGACTTCCTACCAAAATGATGGCTTGCAGTCCCCTTGAGGCCCTTACAGGGACACCTGTCTGGGGAGGGTGCACGCAGACGTGAAGTCGCCGCACTACGTCCACCCAGACTCCCAACTCATAGTGACACAGCAGCACAGCCAGAGGGAGGTGGTACAGAAATAGCCTCTCGCATACCTGCTGGTTCATTTTGTAACTGAAGGATTTCCAGGGCTGAGTCTCTTTCCTCCCCACTCCCTGAGTATATCCCTCTCCCACACCAGCAGGGGAAGAGACCCAGCTACTATTGATTCTAGCCGATAATTTAAGAAAGATGCCTGTGGACCTTATTTCTCTGGACATTCCTTTCCATAGATTTGATTCCTGGTGGTGAGGCAAAAGCCTTATCAGTCTTCTACCTCGGTGATTTAAAAAACAAAAACAACCAAACAAAATCCAATTCTGCCAGACATAAATGTCATCTGTTTGTATTTATACGGTTTGCTCTGCCCCATCGACCTTTCTGCCCAGGTTTAATGATGCCACTTAAAAAGCCATTCACACGTCCCTTCTCCTTTCAGAGCTTCAAGCTGAAATTGATTTCCTTATTCAGCCCCTCTCTCCCCTTCCCACTCCAGCCAGGCGCCTCCCCCAGCCTCATTATACGGACGCGCTGACAGTGGGCGGCGGGTAGGGTTTTTCTGTTTGCTTAATTTTTTTTATTGCCATGTCCATGAAGAAATAGTGACAGTTTACTGCTAACGGATGCCACCTGCTTTTGGCTTGAGGAAGAGAAGCATAAAAATAAGCTCATCAGCGGAGTAGTACCCCCGCTCCCATCCTCGGCTGAGTGAAGGAACACTGCTCCAGGCCAGTGGGGAGGATGTGGTACGGGAGGAGCTCAGGACTGAGGCTGCTGCTGAGAGCCCCGGCTTTTGTTATTATTAGTGGAATCAGAGAAAATAGCAGGAGGACCTTGTCCTTTTCCTCCCCTCGGGATCCTCATGGCTCCTTAGAGTTACATGTTGGTATTGGGGAGGGCTTCTACCGCCTTGCTAGTCCCCACACCCTGCACGCTCATATATCCCCCCACGCTTTCCTGGCTCAGGACATTAAGCTCAGATTATGAGCTACCTTCCAGAAAAGCTATAGATTTGATTATTTTTGCATTGCCCCCCCCCCTCAGGTAGCAAGGAGTGTTTGAATGAGGTCAATTGCAATTTTGTTGGTAGAGGATATTGGAGCAGGTGGGGTCTTAGGGTGGAGAAATAAAATACCCAGAGCTACTGTCATAAGGGGGGAGTTGTTAGATGCGTGATATTCCACAATCATGCGGTTCTCCCGTGGCCTTTCTGCAGCCGTGCTGAATACCCTGTTCCCCTCTGCGGGGGTGGGGATGCGGGAGTGAGCCTGCTGCGCTGAGTATTTGTGCTCTCTGATCAGATGAGCCCTCGAGGGTGTGGGCACTGGCGACTGGAGGATAGCATCTGACAGGTGCCGTGTCCCCGGAGCTGCCCTCCACATCTCCCACCACTGCTTTCCTTTCCTTTTGACCGAAGCTACCTGAGAAAAGCAATCACTCTCACTTCCCAGCATGACTGTGCCCAGGGCAGAGGCTTCAACGTTTCCTGTCACAGGAGGCGCTGTGATGGCAGCAGCAGCTGCAGTCCCAGAGCACTGAGCCATGAAAACAGCAGCTTTGCAGCAGGTCTTCCCACTCAACACCCCCAGTCCTGTTACACCACTGCCACACATGAGCTCAGCCTCACCCCTGACAGAAGGCCTAGCAGGGCAAAAGCAAACCCTCACTCTGAACAGTCCCCTGTAGGGAAATGAAATCCCTGCCCATTCCTCTCTGCCCATCACACTGCTTCTTCCTGCCTTACATGTAGCCATTACCAGGAAAGCCTGCATGTGCCTGTGGCTTTGGCCTGTGCCCCAGCCTGGGCCTGTACGGTGCCCTGACATTTGAGCAGTCTGTCTTGGGCATTCAGTGATGCCTCTCTCTGACAGAATGGAGTGGTTTATGCCAAACATGCCAGAATACCCTCAGCAGGTGAACACCAGGGAAGCACTGGCATCTGGGACTCATGGCCTGACCAGATGTCCACTGGCTTGAGGGGAGGGTCAGAGACCAATCAGCAGCTTTCTCAGATTCCTGGCAAGATGCAATTTAAGTGACCCTGAGGCGAGTGGGTGGATTTGCTTGTTGACTTGCCCACTCAGGGCTAGCTGGAAGGTCAGATTTTAGTTTGAATTAACAACCAACTTCTTTCTTCTGTCCGCTTAGGAGTGTCACCTTCCGGGCCAGGTGTGGTGGTCATGCAGCTGAATGTCCCTAATGGACCCCAGCCCCCCCAGAATCCATCCATGGTCCAGTGGAGTCACTGTAAATATTACAGCATGGACCAGCGGGGGCAGAAACCCGGAGACTTGTATAACCCTGACAGTAGCCCCCAGGTAAGTCTTTGCAGCCAAGCTTTATCTTGGCAAGGATGGGACCAGATTCTTCTCGGGGATTAATCTCTACTCCCTGTAATCTTTGCCATCGACTAAGCAACCTCTTTACATGTCTTTTCCTAGCACTTTGTGGAGAGAAACACAAGAAATGGATCTAAACCTAAGGTCTCAAGAAACCTAAGGTCTGGGGCCTCCCTGGTGGCATAAGGGTTAAGTCTCAGCGCTATCACACTACCACTGCTGCAGCCTGATTTTGATCCCCACCAGGGAACTGACCCACATGGTGCAGCAGACCTCTCCTGTCTCCCCACTGCTCCCCTCAGCAGTGGATTTCAGTAGATCTGCCTGTTCTGCTCCCCACTCTGTCTCTGGTGAATCCTTCTCACCCCCCGCACCTCTGGCCTGTACCCCAGCTCTTGCATGCATAAATAAATAAATCTTTAAAAAAAAAAAAAAAACCTAAGGTTAGAAGGAGAAAGATGAATTCTGAATGATTTCACTCATGTGGAATATAGAGAAACATGAAAAAGGAACAGACAGAACTATACCAGATAAATAGAAATCTGACTATAGCATAGAGGCTGCCGGCGCGGGAGAGTGGGAGCTGGGAAATCCAAAGGACTATTATGGTGGAGAATAACGGCTGCTCTGGTGGTGGGGGTGATGTGGTAATATAGATCTGAAGAAATGTGAACTTATTCTTTTAAATCATATGCAGTATTGCAAACCAATGTTGCTATGATAAAAAAAAATTAAGGACTAGAAAAGAAAGGAAGCGAGAAACCTGAGGTATCTAAGATGGCAGATGGGACACATACTTGAAAATACTAAGAGAATATTTAAGATATGTCAAAAAGTACATCTTAAAATAATGCAAATTAATTAGGGACTCAAGGGGTAGTGAGAAGAAATAGTCTGACTTTGGCAGGGTTCAGCCAGAGACGTGTGCTGCGGAACGTGACTTTTAGGCCAAGCCACAGGAACGTCCAGAGGGCAACGCTTGGTGACTGTGTAACGTGTCCTCTCTCCGCGCAGGTCAGCACGCAGCTGAGCAGCAGCCCCGTCACTTCCCCCACCCAGTCTCCAGCACCCTCTCCGGTCACCAGCCTCAGCAGCGTCTGCACAGGACTCAGTGCCCTCCCCGTCCTCACACAGTTCCCCCGACCTGGGGGTCCAGCACAGGGTAAGGGGTAGGTTAGGGCGGGCTTCTGTCAAGGTGATTAATTAACCTTGCATTAAAGAATGTGTAACCTCCTTTACGTACTGTTCACTGCCAGGTAAGGCAGGACTATGAGCTGGGGAAAGGAGTTCACCAAACTTTCTAATGAACCAAAAATTTTAACCCATCAGTACTAAGTCTGAGGACTAGAAATACAGAAATATTACCGTTTTAGATCACTGGATGTGAACAGAAGACTTGAGTTCAGATTCTGGTTCTACCACTGGCTATGTGATGTGAGCATGTTACTTAAACCTGGAATCAGACCTCAGTTTCTCATCTATAAAATGGAATTAATCACACCTCAGATGGTAATAATCAATCTCATCTACTTTCTGTCTTGGTTGTCAGAAGCATTGTGAAAATAAGGTGACAGGGCCTCCCTGGTGGCACAGCGGTTAGTCTCAGTGCTATCAAGCTGTCGTCAGCCACTGCGGCCTGAGTTCGATCCCTGGCCAGGGAGCTCCCCACATGGTGCAGCAGACCTCTCCTGTGTCCCCGCTGCTCCCCTCAGCAGTGTGTTTCAGTGGATCTGCCTGTTCTGCTCCCCACTCTGTCTCTGGTGAATCCCCTCACCCCTGCACATACACCCACTGAGCCTACACCCCCATTCTTGTACATACAAATAAATAAAATCTTTTAAAAAAAAATAAAAGTTTTAAGTGCTTTGACATATAATATTTATTAACATTAATCCGTAGGTAACGGGCCTCCCCGGTGGCGCAGCGGTTGAGCGCTGGGTTGCGAAGCTGCCCGCGGCCTCTGCGGCGCCGGTTCGATCCCCAGCTGCTCCCCGGCCACCGGAGGAGGGTCCCACATGGCGCGCAGACCTCTCCTGCCGCCCGCTGCTCCCCTCAGCAGTGTCCTTCGGTCCTTCTGCCTGCTCTGCTCCCCACTCTGGCTCTGGTGAATTCTCTCACCCTCCCGCGCTTCTGACTGTACCCAGTGCATGTGTAAACAGAACAAACAAACAAAACAAATAAATAAATAAATAAACATGCCTCTATTAATACGTAGGTAACACTTCTGGTGCTTAATACATACCAAGCTCTGCTGTAACCGCTTCATGTATCTTAAATCCGTTTAACTTCCCCAGCAACGCAAAGTGGGTGGGGGGGGGGCTGTACCCAGCATCCATTTTGAGTAACAGAGCCAGGATTTTTACCAGGCTTTCCGGCTCCGAGTCTGTCCTTTTAGCCTCTGCACCGTGTTGCCTCTCCCGTGAGCCAGAAACCCAGGCCTTGGGTTTGGAGAGGAGATGGGCTACCTGAGACAAAGAAGACATTCCGGGGAATCTGTGGGTTTCCTCCAGGGCTTTTTGTCTATAGGCACAGAACCCTCTTCAGGGGTAAAGGAGCCTAATCGCCTCATTCGTCTTTGAGGCGCAGCCGAGAGCCGGTGAGCTGAGGAAGGGAGACGGCTAGTAAACTCGCCACATGGTCACTCTCACCACAGGAAAAATAGGGGTGGTGTGTTTTGTTGTATCCATTTCTAGCGCCCTCCGGAGCCTCGTAAAATTCATGCCATGAAGCTCAAGCTCCTGGAAAACTCTCTGCTCTTCCTCCCTAGGTGATGGGCGGTACCCCCTCTTGGGCCAGCCATTACAGTACAATCTGTCCATCTGCCCGCCCCTGCTTCACGGTCAGTCATCTTACTCGGTGCATCAGGTAGGAATCTCCCCTTAGCCACAGGGCCGTCAGACCCCTGCCCTTCTCCCCCGGACCCTGGCTCTGAGCCATCCGTCTTCACCAGCTGGGTGGACAAGGGAGACAACACACAGAGGGTGAACAGAGTACCCCCGCCCTGTACGCCTTCCTCCCTCCTGAGCCCGGTGCCAAGAAGGAGGGGCTTTGTCTCTCAGTGGTCACTCTGTGGTCACTCTGCCTGCCTGGTGTGGTGGTGTCCTCGGGCTTGGGTACTGCCCCTCAAGTCTCTCAGCCAGACATAGGGATGCGTGGCAGTTGTGCTGTTTGCCCAGGATGAATGTTGCCTTTGAAATGTTGAAGGGACAGAGCGGATTAAAGCATGGAAACCGGAGCAAAAGACAAGCACTCAAGTCTGCCTCCACTGACCTGGGGACAGCAGATATTGGTGAGTGACCCGATGCCAAACCCCTGAGAAAAGGTCTCACCCTCCCCGCTGCATTGGCAGCACAGGATGGGGGAAGCCAGTCTCAGGTGGGGAGCGGAGATGAGACCCGCTCATACTCAAGAACAGGAGAAGTTGACAAGTGAAGGATCTTGGTCCTTCTCACCAGGTCATCCCAGGCCCGGGCAAGAGCCTGGTGAAAACTGGGACTAGCTGAGGGGGGTGCTGAGTCTGTTATCAGCGGGACCCTAATCTTGGATATCTACCTTGGCAGTCCAAGCACCGGTTTGAGAGAAGCTTGACAGAGACTAGAGGGCAGTGATTCCTCCTGCAGGCCTCCGGGGTCAGCATTATGGTCTCTCGGGATTTCTCCTATTGGGAGCATTTTGTTAAAAAAGGAAAGAAAGGGAAACTGACTTTCCTAGATAAGAAGGAGGAATTTTTTTGGGCCAGCCTCTGGGACGGGAACTCTGGGACCTAATTCAGATTGGACTGTTGACTTTGTGAAGGAATGTCAGCAAGAGTCCCGCTCCCTTCACAGCCACAAACCCAGTGAAAGAACTGAGGTAAATGTCACCAGGTCTTAAATCTGGGGATTCTGGTTCTCTGTCTCTCCTTGCCTAAGAGAGGAGAAAGCTTCCTTTTTCCTCCATGTTGCCCTGATCCTAGTTGGGATGGGGATCATGTAGGGAGGGCTAAGGGGGAGAGGCTGGACTTCTGAGAATCTCGTGACAGACCTAGTCAGCTGGCTACGTCTCTGCCAGGCCACTATCCAGTTCTCCCTCCTCTGCATCTCTCACAACCGTGTCCTCTCTCCCCTTCCAGTCCTGGGGCGGGTGCTGGAGGTGACAGATCTCCCCGAGGGCATCACCCGTACAGAGGCGGACAAACTCTTCACTCAGCTCGCCATGTCCGGCGCCAAGATCCAGTGGCTCAAGGATGCTCAGGGGCTGCCTGGAGGGGGCGGGGGGGACAGCGGCGGGACTGCCGAGAACGGCCGCCACGCGGACCTCGCTGCCTTGTACACCATCGTGGCTGTATTCCCCAGCCCCTTGGCTGCCCAGAACGCCTCCCTTCGCCTCAACAACTCCGTGAGTCGCTTCAAACTTCGAGTGGCCAAAAAGAACTATGACCTGCGGATCCTGGAGCGAGCCAGCTCCCAATAGACGAGCAGGGGAAGGGCCGGCGGCGGCGCTGGGGCTGGGCGGGGCGGGGGCTGAGGGAGCCTGACGGGGCACAGCCAGAGGCCCAGTGAGGGTGGCCGAGCAGAGCGAAGACGGCAGCGTGAAGACAGGAACAGACACTGACACTGGACCGGACTCCTCACCCCCCTGTCAGGGGCGCCCCCTCCCCTTGCTCGGGCCCCCCTGCTTCCCCTCTCCTCCCGGCCTCACCTTGGTTTTCATTTCTTCTCCTGCCCTGAAACTCATTTCTTTTGTATCTCTTCGGTCAGGTGGAATCGGGAGGGCCCGTCCTCCCCAGTCTCCCACCCCCTTGCCATCGCAAGCTCCCCTTTTTTTTGGTCTTTATGAATATATTTATATGGACAGAATTAAGAAAAACAAAATTGATTTCCCCTTTCTCTCACTTCCCCCATCCTGTCCCCCCAAGCCCCTCAGAGTTAAAACATGGGCCTCTCCCCACACCCCGGAACACTCGTATATTGTTTGTTTGAGATTCGTGCCGCAGTAACAGACACAGTATTTAATTGCACATAAAGATGTTTGCTGGGTATATTCACTGTAAATTTTATTTAATCTGATTTTTTTGTTTGTTTGGGGATTTATTTGGGGGGAGGTTGATTTTGTTTTTAAATATAAAAAAAAAACAAACCTGTCACTGGACGTCAGTCCCTGTTTCTCTCTTGCCACGCTGGTGTGGGTCGGGGTGGAGCTTCTGGGTGCGTATAGCCCCGCGGCACCAGAGGGAATGACGTGGCTTGGGACGGCTCTCCCCGACGCTGTGCACATCTTCCGAACATTTTTCCCTCCGGCCTCCCCCAAATCTTGATACACACTTGGGTCTCTAATGGGACCTTGGCTCTGGGCTCTCCTGACTCTGCCACCTCCGGTGGTTCATTGAGCACATCACCTCCCAACTCTGCATCTCGGTGAGATAAAAGACTAGCATTGCCTGGGTGACCTCTGGGGTTCCTTCAACTGTTAAGTTCCCAGATGCTGAGGGCCTTCACGGCTGGGCTGGCGGGGGGGGGGGCAGTGAGGTCCAGACCTGGCTTGAGATGAGCTAGTCTCATACCTCTCTGAGCTTCTGAAAACTCGTCAGGGATGAAGGGATTGCTTGGACCTTTTGTGTAATGCCAAAGCCAACAGATTGGGTTCTACCTGGCAGGGACAGAAGTGGATATTTTTTAAAATAAAAACTACAATCAGTTGAATTTGCAGTGCCAACGTAGGGGGCACAAATGCCCAGGAGTACACAGCATTTCCTGGCCTGTGCAGCTGAAGAAAGGTAAAGAAAAGAAGTCACCTGCCTACAAAGTGGATCTTTCCTTCTCTCTCAGACTTCGTGGCGTTCGCTCTGTTCTGCAGCCTGTCCGATCAGGGCTGTTCTGTCTCACCCACCCTTAAAAAGAGAATAAGGACAGTAGGTAGAAATGACCAAGAGCATTGCCCTAGAAATTTCTGGGGTCTGAGTAGCTTATCTTTTTTTTTTTTTAAGATTGATTGATTCATTCATTCATTCATTCATTTATTTATGTATACAAGCACTGGGTACAGTCAGAAGCGCGGGAGGGTGAGAGAATTCACCAGAGCCAGAGCGGGGGGCAGAGCAGGCAGAAGGACCGAAGGACACTGCTGAGGGGAGCAGCAGGCAGCAGGAGAGGTCTGCGCGCCATGAGGGACCCTCCTCCGGTGGCCAGGGAGCAGCCAGGGATCGAACCAGCGCTGAAGAGGCTGCGGGCAGCTTCGCAACCCAGCGCTCAACCGCTGCGCCACCGGGGAGGCCCTGGGTAGCTTATCTTTAACCAGGCTCCTCTGAAGCTTGTCTGAACCCTACCTCCAATGTCATCCTTTATTTCTTACAGATGCAAGGACTAAAGCAACACTACACACCTCTTCCAAATTGCTCTCCTCAGGGATGAGGGTGTCTCAGCCGAGTCTCAGCCCAGAGTAGGAGAAAGCTGCGTCCCGTGAGATGAGAGCGCCAGGCGTCTCGCTGGCCCATCGCTTCCCGTGCTGGGGCGCCAGAGGAGGAAGATGCACTTAGAGACTAAAGTGACTTAGGAAGTGTGAGGCTCAGAGGGTCTCCATCCAGGAGCCGGCAGTCCTCACAGGGAAGGGCCACGTCTTACAGACGGAACAACTCATATGGCGGCTTTTACCTTCTGTCCACTGTTAACAGGGCCGTCTCCACCTCATCATTAGACCCTGACTCCCCCAAAGCCCCTCAGCTGGAGGTCCCAGCCTGGCTCTAACAATCCCCTTCACTCACGGACCAGATTGTAGAGAAACAGGGAGGAGTCGGCAGGCAACCGGAGAGGCCAAGCCACACTCCGTGTTCTTCGCTCTAGCCTGGCTGACAGGAGAGTTCAAAGGATTCACATTTTCCTTTCTTCGCTGGCTCCAGCCCTTCCCTTCTCAAGATTTGAGGCTAGATCAGTGCTCAGAGGCTGGAAACACATGCCCGTCAGAAAACAGTGTGGGGGAGTCGGGGTCGAGGTGGATCTTGGGAAAGGGGATGGGGAATGTTGTTAATGAGTCAGCTTTACCTTCATTCATTTACCGTCACCCAAGTGAGCACGAAACGTGAACAGACACTGTCCTTCCCCGAAGTTAGCCAGCACTGATCTGCTCGTCGGTGGGAAGCCAGGGAGAGCAGCTGTGGGGGATGGGAGCAGTCAGGGGCCAGCCCTGCCCAGACCTCCCGTGTCCAATTTCTCCGTGTCAGCTGTGTCTCAGCTGTCCACTTCCCTCCAGCCCTGTCATTTCACCCTGACACCAAGGCAAGAGGCTCAGAGGTCTGCAAATACCATCTGGGTAGCTGGTGTGAGTAAAGGGCATTGCTGGGGCGGAGGTGGGGACAGGTTTAGCCCCCAAGGAAGCGGACCAGTCCTCCCAACACCACCAGCAGGACCCGGGGGCACCCTCTTCCCTCCACAGACTGTGGGCTGACTTAGGGAATCCCAAACGTAAGTTGCCTCTTCATCCTTCCGTTTCCAGGGCTCTTCACCCCTGCTCCCCTAGTCCACCGTCTACTCAGCTTCTTTATATCTTTCCTTGTCTGGGAGTAGCTTGGCCTTTAGGAGTGAAATAATTATTCCAGAATGAAAGCTAGGGTTAGAGGGTGGAGTGGAGGTGGGGTCAGGGACGGGAGCAGGAAAGGAAAGGCTCATATTACTCTGAAAACTTAAAATAGCTGAGGTCTGAGACAGGCTTGGAACAAGGCACTGGGCCCTAGGGGCTCAAGAAAGGTAGGGGGCACAAATGCCCAGACCTAGCCCCTGGGCACGCGGGCACTTGCCACCTCTTCAAGAAAGGAGGTCTGGGAGGTGTATGTCCTAGCTCTTGCTCACAGCTCCCCAGGAGAAACAGAGTTCCTGTGGAAAACCCCTAAGGCCTGCAGCCTTGGGCACCGCGTTAGCACTGTGAACTCTGGGGTCGCTCCTCAGGGCGGAGGCGGGTTATTGGTTTGAGAAACTGGCTAAGTAGTTCACTGGCCTGTTGAGGTTTTCTCTGGACCTCCAGGAATCTGCTCTGTCGAAGGATCTCTGCTTAATCCTATTTCTCCCAAAGTCTCTCCTTCACGGATCACCCCTATTATACTTCAAGGGACAAGAAGGGGGTGGGGGTGGGAAGTCAGGGGTTAGATTTCACAGTGGGGTCCAACCTCTTGCAGGATGACAGAAAAGGAGGTGCTGGAGTCTCCTAAGCCCTCCTTCCCAGCAGAGACCCAGCAAAGCGGGGTGAGTCTGGACCTCTGACCACTGGGTGTGGGAGCTGGGAAGCCATTGCGGCCTTGAAGCAAAGTGCTTGGCTTAATCTCATGTGTGTGTGTTGAACATGTTGTTAGAATGCTAGCCAATACCTGCCGTCCCCAGTACCCCCTAATCCTGGGGGGTGTCCCTTGTTCCAGGCTAGAAAAACAGCCAGTTAGCTCCAGCTCACCTACTCCAGAGAGGAGGGCAGGTGTTTAACATCTACTCCCTCCCCCTCAGCTTCAGCGGCTGAAGCGGTTGTTCAGGAAGGAATCCACAGAGACCAAGGAGATGGAGCTTCCCCCCGAGCCCCAGGCCAACGGGGAGGCAGTGGGTGCTGGGGGGGGCCCGATCTACTACATCTATGAGGAGGAGGAGGAGGAAGAGGAGGAGGAGGAGGAGCCGCCCCCAGAGCCTCCCAAGCTCGTCAATGATAAACCCCACAAATTCAAAGACCATTACTTCAAGAAACCCAAGTTCTGTGATGTCTGTGCCCGGATGATTGTGCGTGAGTTGTGGCGGGAGGTGGCGAGACGGCGGGGGCGGGGGCCAGGCAGGCCAGGTGAGGGCTGACTTTAAGGAAATGCTGTTAAGAGACCGAGGTGTCAAGTCTCAGCAGAAAGGAGCCTGAAAGCTAGAGTAGAAGCGGAGGCCCCGAGGGAGGGAAGTCAGGGCCTCACCCGAGGGTTCTCCCCTCTCCCAAGTCAACAACAAATTCGGGCTCCGGTGCAAGAACTGCAAAACGAACATCCACGAGCACTGTCAGTCCTACGTGGAGATGCAGAGGTGCTTCGGCAAGATCGTGAGTAGGCTCTGGGGGCAAGAGCGCAGGCGGGAGGGACGTGCGGCCCGTCCCTCCTCAGGCCATCCCTCCTGGGTCCCTGCTTGGTCTTCTCCGCCTGCTGCTCTAAGAAAGGGCAAGCACTCGGGTAGCTGGAGTGCCGGGGCCTCCCTGCTGTCTCTAATGCTGCTTCCCATCCCACTCGACAGCCCCCTGGTTTCCATCGGGCCTACAGCTCCCCGCTCTACAGCAACCAGCAGTTCGCTTGCGTCAAGGATCCCTGTAAGTGCCCCGGGGGGACTGAGGGGTGGGCGAGCCCAGGGGTGGTGTCAGCACCACGTCTAGTTTTGGAAACCAAACACTGACCCAGAAAGATTCTATTTCCCGTGGTTCTCTCTTAACCTGTTCATATTTTAGCCGTCTTGGATGCAGAGACAATAATTTACTGGTTTTTAGCCAAGGGAAGGAGATTTAGCAGGGGCTCTGTCCAGCCAGCCAGAGACGGCCAAAACAGACACCTTCATCTGCCTGACTTCAAAGTCTGTACTCTTCATGGGCAAAACCATGTCTGATCACAAACAAGGGTCCTAGACTGCCCTCCTCAACAGAATATGCCAGATGAGGGGCTGTGGGCAGCCTGGGCAGATTCATCATCTGGCGGGGCTTGACACTTTGCACCGTTTGGAGGAGAGGCTGAACACTGAGGAGCATGCATAGACAGAGGAGAACCCAGTTGGTTGCACTCAGCCTGCATATGCCACTCGGCAGAGCAAAAGCCAGCCGGAAGGGACCACTCTTCTTAGGATTCCGAGCATTCCCCAACTCCCAAGCAGCTTACCAGCAAAGCTGTCTTTCCATCATCATGTAATGCTCTGCCTAAGGGTGCGCGCCAATTTGCTTCTCCATCGTTACGCATCCACTGATGTTCTAGAGCTCTGCATAGGCTGATGACTTAGGTATGCCCAGCTGGCCCCTTCCCCAGCCCTACACACACCCAGACCCACAGTCTTCAATCCCAGCTCTCCCCTAGGGGGTGTCCTGCTCCAAGCCTTGCTCTGCCTCCCCAGTAATGTCTTTCTTCTCCCATCCCTACCAGCTGCTGCCAATCACAATGACCCTGTGTTTGAAACCCTGCGCACTGGGGTGATCATGGCAAACAAGGAACGGAAGAAGGGACAGGCAGATAAGAAAAATGTGAGCACCAGACCTTCTACTGAGGTCCTCTCCAGAGACCCAATGGAGCAGAACCTGTCTGCCCTCTGGAAAGTTGACAGAAGCTAGGAATCATCTTCCCCTAAAATCGCACACAATGCATCAGACATTTTTGCACACAATTTCAGAAGGTCTCTTAAGAACTCTTGCCATACAGAGTGTTTTCTCCAGGAAATTGTTAGATAAAGCACCACAACCAACTCAAGGCTAGACCCCAGGCAGCAGAGGCTAAAGACGCACTTCTGGATTTGGCAAAGAGAACTTGTCATGCCAAGTAATCAGAGAATTCTAGATGCATGCAAGGATCCATAAAGGTCATGGTCTGACCTGTTATCTTTTTCTTTTTAAGATTTATTTATTTATGCATACAAGAACTGGGGTACAGGCCAGAGGTGTAGGGGGTGAGAGGATTCACCAGAGACAGAGCAGGGAACAGAACAGGCAGACTGACAAAATACACTGCTGAGGGGAGCAGCGGGCGAGACAGGAGAGGTCTGCTGAGCCCTGTGGGGAGCTCCCTGGCCGCGATTGAACTCGTGCTGGTGGCTGCGGATAGCTTCATAGTGCTGATGCTTAACGCCTTGTGCCACCAGGGAGGCCCTGACCCATTTATCTTATGGATGAGAAACTGAGGCACAAAGCTAGTGACCAGGAGTTACTTCATAATGGGGCTACTCGGTTGGTAATGCCATAGACTTACATTCAGTTCAGAAAGAAATTTGTGAGCATTTGTTATCTTTCTGGGCAGCCAGGATGGGCTCATGTGATGATGGTTACAGTCAGATGGATTCCTAGAATTGGCTGAATGAGAGTAGCCAAAATATCCTAGTTCTTCAAGAAGTATCCGGCTAGAGGGAGGTTTCTGTGGCCAACCGCCATGATTTGATCCAGAGTCCTCACCTATGGACTTTTTCCTCCCGGGTGCAAGTGAAGGTATAAATGGTATACCCATTAAGTTTGTGGGGCACCTAGGAGGGAAAACGTATACACTAACGAATATATTTTAAAATCTTACAGACTAGGAGAAAGGGTAAAAACAAAAATAATTTGAAATTCTATAGAGAAAAATGCCTGTATCTGTTCTTGGATCAAAAAAAAAAAAAATCAACTGCACAAAAACAATCAAAGATCTAGCCTCAGAGCAGTGGACGCGGATGTTGGGTGCAAATTAGGGATTTCTATGGGGTGAACGGTGCCTCATCCGGCACCAGCACTGTGATTTGGCCGCTTCCAGAAATGTCTGGGGTTCTCTTGTCTTCTAAAGAGTCTACAGACTCTGCTGCCCGTTTTTCTTTTATTCCTGGAATCAGAGCCTGTGGTGATTTGAACGGGCTGAGAGTGATTAGAGAAGGTAGGACGGCCATGCCAGCCGGCCTCAGGGGCCGCGCGTCTTCTGTATTGCTCCAGGGCGCAAATCAGGATCAGTAACAAAATGACAGGGAGACTGGTCAGTCTTCACGTAGGCATCGCTGCCACCCGCCATGGCCGTACTTTGCAGGACACTGGGCGCCCGGTCATTAGTGACACGGAGGCATAGTGTGGGTGACTGGTCTCTAGTTCCTGGCCTAACATTGGGCTCCCAAGACAACACCCTAACTCTGGTGCCCCCTCCAGCCTCTAGCAGCCGTGATGGAAGAGGAGCCAGAGTCTGCCAGACCCGAGGAGGGCAGACCTCAGGGTGGTGAGTGGAGCCCACTTCTGTCCACGGAGACGGAATAGAGTCAGGGCCTCAGCCCTAGCTCAGGAGAGGGGGGCAGAGGGTTCGCGGCTTTGGGGATGAGATGGAAAGAGGCGCTTCCACAGAATGAGAACCACCCTCCGGAGCCAGGGGCAATCTGTTGGCATGTCCCACCCCAGGAAACCCTGACGGGGAGAAGAGGACTGAAAAGAAGACTCCCGACGACAAAGTGAGAATCCTTTCCCCTGTGGGGACCCTCGTCCCCTGCGCCCCCACATCTGCCCCACTCACCGGGCTCTGGAGCTCACGCTGGGCCCGTGGACTCCCACCTCAGCCGCCTTCTACACACGCACACACCAGCACCTTCCCTGGGGGGCCTGGAGGCCAGTGGGGATGCTGTCCGGGATGCCCTGCGGGGACGCCTGCGCCTGGGTGGGGGGCGGGAGCCCTGAAACTGCCGCCTCTCCCCGCAGCACAAGCAGCCCGGCTTCCAGCAGTCGCATTACTTCGTGGCTCTCTACCGGTTCAAGGCCCGGGAGAAGGACGACCTGGATTTCCCGTGAGGCCTTGGATGGGGTGGGGTGTGCTGGGGGCGGGGGGGGGGCCGCTCGGATGTTGGGGCTGGGCTTGAGCGCAGGTGTGTGACGGGTCGGTCCCCCCCAGGCCGGGAGAGAAGATCACGGTGATCGACGACTCCAATGAGGAATGGTGGCGGGTGAGAGAGGGGGGCGGGGCCGGGGGCGGGGGGCGGGGGGGCGTTGGGGGGGGCGCGGGCCGAGACCGACGCTCCCACCCGCCCCCCCAGGGGAAGATCGGGGAGAAGGTCGGATTTTTCCCTCCGAACTTCATCATCCGGGTGCGCTGCGGAGAGCGCGTGCACCGCGTGACCCGCTCCTTCGTGGGCAACCGGGAGATCGGGCAGATCACGCTCAAGAAGGACCAGGTAGCCGCCGGGCTCGTGGGGGCGCGTGGCCCCGGCCGCGGCCCCGCGCCTGACCCCGCCCTCCCGCCGCAGATCGTGGTGCAGAAGGGCGAGGAGGCCGGGGGCTACGTCAAGGTGTCCACGGGGCGCAAGGTGGGGCTGTTCCCCGCCGACTTCCTGGAGGAGATCTAGGCGGCTCGGCGACGGCGGGCGGCGCGGGCCTTCGGGGAGGGCCCGGCTCCGCCCGGGCCTCGGTGCCGGCACCGGAGCCGCCGCGGCCAGCCCTGGGCCTCGGTGCCGGCACCGGAGCCGGGAAGGTCCCCACTGGCAGGCGCGGGGGGCAGTGAAGCTGTGAAATGCCGGGAATGTGTTAAAGTTTGGACAAAATGACACGTCTGTCTGGCTTCTGGACGCCGAAGGGAGCGGGAGGCGCGGGGGACCCCGCGGGCCTCAGGGCACGTCGTGGGGTAACCCGAGAGCCGCGCGCGCCGGGCGGGTGGGGTGAGGAGACGGGCGCGCCCGCCAGCAGGGGCCCCGCTGTCGGCGAAGGAAGGGGAGCCGGGCCGGGGCCGCCGTCGCTCGTCCCCGGGGCAGCGCCCGGGCAGCGCCCGCGCCCCCGCCCGCCGCGCCGCGGCCGGGGTGCCCTCGCGGGGCCGGCCGCCAGGGGGCGGTGCGCGCCCTCGGTTGGCGAGCGCGGCGGGGAGGGGGACCGGAGCCGCCAGCCCGAGACCCCGGGCCCGGGAGGGGCGGGGTGCGTGCCGTCTCCATGGCAACGCCGCCTCGAGTCCTCCGGGAACCCGGCCAGCGAGGCCGGGGGGCCTCCCCCCCCGCGCGCCCCGGCCCCAGCCCGCGGCGACAGGTACGCGGCGAGGGCGCGGGGCCGACAGCAGCCGCCCGCGCGGAGACGCCCCCTGCGGCGCGCCGGATGCAAATGTTGTTATTTGCATATGCAAATATGCTAATGCGCCGGCCCCGGTCAGGGTAGCAGGTGGCGGGGAGCGGGAAGGTGTGGGGAGGAGCTGAAGGAGACGGGGAGTTTGGGGGCCCGGCAGCCCCCGCCAGGGGCGGCCGCGGTGGTCGCCGGAGCGGGCAGGCGGAGGGGCTCGGCCTGCGGATGGGGGAGGGTCGGCGCGGCCAGGCAGGAGAGCCGCCTCTGCCCGCTGTCTGCCAGGCCCGCGGCTGGCACCGCCTAGCAAGGTTGGCAGCGGGAGCCGGGCACCATCTGCCGCTGCGGGGGAGGGCAGGGGCTCAGCTGGGCTGGGGAGGAGCAGGCCCCGGCCGGCGGCCCTTCCTCCCCGCGCCGAGGGGCGGTGGGGGTCGGCGGGCGCCCGTTCGCGTCGCCCTTGACAGCCCCGGCGCCTGGGGGTGCGGCGGGCGGGGAGAGGACGGGCGCCCCTCTTCAGCCACGCTGGGGCTGAAACGGGAGCAGCTCGCAGCCCCCCCTTCACAGCCACGCGCACCAGGCTCCTGCCCACCCTTCCCGGGCCGGCCGTGGGGGCGGGACGGACGGCGGGTCTGTGTCGTCGGGAGGGCTGAGGGACTCCGAGCACCAGAGCCCCCCGAGATCCTGCCAAGGGCCCCCCACAATGCTGAAGCAAAACCAATTTACTGGCTCATTGGGCGGCGATGCAGGCGTGGGGGTGCTGAGAAGCAGAGAGAGCGGCTGTTCTCCCCCTGCACTCGGGGGGCACCCCCTTCCCCGCCTGCCGGAGCCGGCAGCTGTCCCTAATTAGAGCGGCGGTTTAATTGGATTTATCAGCAGTTAATAGGAAATTAAGCAAAGGGCCCGGGAGAGGGGGCAGCGTCGAGGCCGGCTGCGCGCTGAGGCCGGGGCCGGGCTGCAGGTGGGGGCGGGCGGGCTCGGTCCCGGCGCCCCAGGCCACACCTTCTCCCCACCCCTCCCCGAGGCCGGCGCGGGGCCCGCAGCGAGGAGAGAGCAGGTCTCGGGGGAGGAAGCTGGGCGGGACCGAGAGCGGCCAAGCCCCTGATGCCCCTCAGCTCCCCGAGGCCGCAGCCCGGGTGATGGATGATGCTGCTGGCGCTGCAAAGGTCAGAAGTCTGGGCCAGGAGCGGACGGAATTGAAAACAAGAGCAGAGCGGGGGTGGGTTACAGGGCCCGGGACAAGACCCACCCTCCGCCCCTCCCCACGGCCACTGCACTCGTTCTAGAAAGTGCTCCTGACGTGGAAAGCGGGCCGCGGGCCGGGGCTGCAGGATGACCCTCTCCCCTCCGGCTCTCAGCTGCGCGGGGATCCCGGGGCGCCCGCCTCGGCGCCAGGGCCCTGTGTGGCTCCTACTGCTCGCCCCAGCCGCGAACCTCTGGGTTGGCTGTGGCCAGAGTGCCCCAAGGTCAACACCACCCACCTTTGGTGCCAAAGAAGGACGCTGGCCTGCTGTCCACCCAGGAGATGGAGCCGGGGTGCGCAGCCCCAGGCGCCGCGTCGCCAGGCCCCATTTTGTGGCTAGGCCGACAACACCTGCTTGGGGACAGCAGCCTCCTCACTGCGCCGGGCACACAGGCAGCAGCCCCTGCACATGTGTGGGTGCAAACCTCTGACTGTGTGGGGGTCTGTGTCCCTAGTCTGTGACCCTCGGGGATGTGTGTGTGTGTGCACATGTGTGCACGTGTGTGCATATGGGTGTGTGCACGTGCGTGGTGCCCGCGCCCTTGTGCCTGCGCCCCAGGTGTGTGGGGTGTCTCAGTGGCCCAGGTGTGCCATGTGTGCTGCTGTGTGCGCCCGCCCTGGTGGGGCGCCCCGGGGTGCATCTGTCCTGAGTGTGCTGTTGTCCCGTGCTCCCTCCACCTCTGTTATTGTTGCCTCCGCCTGCGGGGTGTCTGAGTGTGCACAGGTGCGTAGTGTAGGCAGGTGTGCGCGCCTCGCCTGGCGTGCCCCGCGCGGGGGCAGGGCCGCCGTCTCTGCCTGCGGGCCGCGGGCCACGCGAGCGTCGGGAGGCGCCTGCGGCGCGAGTGTGCGGCTCCGGCGCCTGTGGCTGCAGGTGTGCGCTCCGTGACAGCGCGTGGGCGTGTGCCTGGGTGTGAGCCGCGCGCTGCCGTGTATCCGAATGACAGTGACGCACGCGCGCGGGTGTGAGTGAGCGCGGGGAGCCCCCCCTCGCTCGCATCTCCATTGCTCCCGGCTGGGCCGGCCCCGCGCGCAGCCTCCATCCATTATTGAAGAAACAGCCGCGTCCGCTCCAATCACATCCACACGCCCCCACGCCCCGCGCGCCCCGCGGCCCCTCTGGGTGCCGGGGCGGGGGAGCCGCGGCGCAGCTGGGGCTCCGGGCGGGGGCGGGCGCGTGACCCCGAGCCCGAGCCGGCGGGGCCGGGACGCCGGGGTCCCGGGCGGGCAGCGCTTGGCAGAAGCAGATGGCGCGGGCGTCTTTGTCTGGCTCGCGGCCGCGCGACCCCGGCCCGGCGGCCCCGGCTGATGCAATCGCGGCTCCTCGGCGCTGGGACGGCGCCCCTGACGGCGGCAGCGGGGCAGAGCCCCGGGGCGCAGAGCAGACGGGGGGCGCCGCCTCCCCGCGCCCCCCTCCAGTGCCCGCGGGAGGACGCGGGCGGGCGGGCGGCGGTGACCCGGAGGGGCCCCGGGCAGTGCCCCAGGCGTCGCCAGGCCGCCCCGCTGGACGGCTGCGGCCTCCAGGCCTGCGCGCCGGGCGCGGGCGGGGGAGCCGGGGACACTGAGGCGTTTGCAGGGCACTGAGGGGGAGACGCGAGGGGAGAGGCGAGCGCGGCGGGCGGGGACGCGGGCACAGCCGGGCAGAGCCCAGGGGGCCAGAGGGCGCGGCCACCCGGCGGGGCAGACCCGGGCCGAGACAAAGGCGCGCCGCGACGGGCGGGGGCGCGGGGGGGGGCGCGGGGCGCAGGGGCGCGCAGAGCCCGGCCTGCAGGGGGCGCTGAGCCCGGGCGTCGGCGGCGCAGACCCTTCGGGGAGAGAGACCAGCCCGGCCCTGGGGTGCCGCCCGCGCTGGCGGCGGGGGAGTCCCCGCCCCTGGCCCCACGCACGCCGGCAGCGCGGGGCCCCGGCCTGGAGGGGGGGCGGCGGGGGCGGGACCCGCCTTCCGGGCGCTCACACGCGGGCGCGCCGCGGCTCCCCGCCCGCACGGCCCGACAGGGGGCGCCCGAGGGTCACCCCAGAGCGCGGGAGCGCAGCTCGGCCTCCAGGGGGCGCCCCGCCACGGCCCCGGCGGCGCGGAGCGCGGCTCCCGGACTCTCCCGCCCGGCGCGCGGGGGTCCCGGGGCGCCTCGGGGGTCCGCGCCCCGCCCCGCCCCTTCGGAGGAAGCGCGAGGAGTGGGAGGAGATGGGGTCCACAGAGCACCCCCGAGGGGGGCCGCGGGAGGAGGCCGAGCAGGGGAAGGGTCGAGGAGCCCCAGAAAGGCCGCAGCAGGGGCAGCGAAGTGCTGAGGCGCGCGGGGAGCGGGGTGGGGGGCGGGGGGGCAGGACGGGCGGGGCGGCGGAGGAAAGTGGGGGGAGGATCCTGGGGTGCCGGCCCGGGTCCCCCCGCGCTCACCGAGAGGGCGGGGAGGTGGGCGCGGGGTGCAGCGCGGGCCCAGCGCCCCTCGAGCCGCGACCCCGAGACCCGGCGGGGGCGCGGGGGACACGGCCCCCCGCGGCGCCCCGGGAAGGCGGGGCTCGGCGCGGGCCCCCCGACACCCCGCAGCCCCTCCCCCAGCCGCGCGCGCCGCGAGTCTCCCCCTTTGTTCTCGCCGCGTCTCTGACACTCCGGCTCGTTATCCCCGCGGAGGCGCCGCGGCTCATTACGGGCGCCTGTCAGCGCGGGCCCGGGGGGAGCGGGGCGCGGGAGCGAAGGGGGAGACCCCAGCGGGGCGCGGGGGCTTCCTCCCGCTCCTCCGGGCCCGCTCGCCTCGGGGAGAGGCGGGGGAGCGCTGGGGAGAGTGGGGTGTCGGGGAGGCTGGCTCCCCGCCCTCTGGGACCCCGGGCGGGGGCAGCGAGGCCTCCGTCCCGCTCCGCGGCGCTTCCTCCCGCGCCTCCCGCTCTCCGTCCCCCTCCGTCCTCGCCGCCCGCGGCCCAGTGGCCTTCAGGGACCCCACTTGCCCCCCACCCCGGCTGGGGCAGGGGGCCAAGCACGTCTCACAATCCCCTAAACTCTGAGAAGTGATTTATTCTTTTTTTAAGGGTTATTTGTTCATGCACGCAAGAGCTGGGGTGCAGGCCAGAGGTGGGGGTGAGAGGACTCCCCAGAGACCGGGCGGGGAGCGGAACAGGTGGATCCCCTGAAACCCACCGCTGAGGGGAGCGGCGGGAGGCAGGCGAGGGCAGCTCCCCGGCTGGGGATTGAACTGGCGCCGCAGCGCCGCGCGGGGCTGCTCCACGGTGCCGAGGCTCTGCGGCTCCCCCCTCGCGCCCCCAGGGAGGCCCCAGAGCGGCTGGGTCTATCCTGGGTCAGGCCTGAGACGCGCCGCTCGCGGAGCCTCGGCTCTGCCCCAGGCAGCCAGGCCCGGAGAAGCCCCCCTGGCCGGCCGGGGCGCGGGCGCACTCGGGGCCAGGGACACGGGCCGCGGCCTCCGGGCCTCGCCGCCCTGCGAGTGTCAGGGAAGCGCCCGGGCTGCCCCTGGCCGGGCCCGCTCCCCGCTGAGGACGCGCCCGCCGGCCCCGCGGGTGTCTGCGGGTGTCTGCCCGGCCCCCGCGGGGCCTCGCAGGCTTTCCCGGGGCCGCAGCCGCCTGCGCGCCTCTGCCTGGGCCCCGGCGCCAGCCCACGAGGGGTGTCTCCCGGGGCCGGCCCGGCCGTCTGGGGAGCGCGTGGAGGAGCAGAAACTTCTCTGCCCCCCAACAGGTCCTGACCCCAGCGCGGAGCCGCGGGAGGAGGCGGGGTGGGCGGGGTGGGGTGACGGATGAAGTGGGCTGGGCCCGCCCGGGCTGACCCCTCCCCAGCCGGGGCGGGACCCCAGGAGGAGCCGGCAGTAGCTGCTGGAAGGGACGGGGCAGCACGGAGACATGGCAGGAGCCAGCCTGGGGGCCCGCCTCTACCGGCAGATCAAGAGGCATCCCGGGGTGAGTGGGTCCCCGGGGCCGCCGATTCTCACTTCTCCTGGGGGCCCCCAGGCCTCCCCGTCCCTGCCTCCTGCCTAGTTCCCCATGTCCCCACGCTTTCCTCGGGGCGCCCTCACTCTCGCTGCGCTGTGCCCCCCCCCCGCCCCGTCCCTTAAATCCACCTCGGACCAGGTTGCTGGGGGTGAGGGAGGCGATGGCGGGCGGAGGTTCGAGGCCCTCTTCCCGGAGAGACCTGGACCCGGGGGGTGACGCCGGATGGGGAGAGAAGCTCCTGAAGGGAAATTGGGAAGGGGGTGGGGGGCCCTAAAATCGCCCTTCCTCTTCCCTCAGCTCATCCCGATGATCAGCTTCATCGGCCTGGGCATGGGCAGCGCTGCCCTCTACCTGCTGCGGCTCGCCCTCCGCAGCCCTGACGTCTGGTGAGCGGCGCTTGGACCCGCGGGCGCCCACGCGGGGAGAAGCGGGACGAGGAGGCTGGGGCCTGGGGGAAGGTGACCCAGGCCGAGCGCCCAGGCCGCAACCTCGGGGCGCCTCGGGCAGCTCCCCGCTGGCGCCCGCTCCGGCCGCGCGCGCCCCCCGCCCCTCCGCGCGGGCCCCCCGACGGCTCCCGCCTCGGAGCGCGCGCCCGGCCCGCTTCCGGCGACCGAGCCCGCGCCGCTCCCGGCCCGGTTGCCATGGCGACGCTGCTCTGCCGGCCGCGCCGGCGGCCTTTGGGTACCGCCAGCTCCGCGCCGAGGCCGGGGGTGTGGCCCGGCGCGCGGCTGTGGGCTGTGGGCGCAGGGCGGCGGGCGGGGCAGACTCCCCGGCCCGGCCAGGGGGCCGGGGGGCGCTGGGGTGGGGTTCCCTGGCCCCGTCAGAAGCCCGGGGCCTGGTGGGATTCGACGGCCCGCGCTGAACCTCAGCCCCTGGGGAAGCACGGCCGGCTCTGTGGGGCTCACCCGAGGTGGGGGGCGGGCGGGAGGCCCTGCGCCGGCTGTCGGTCTGTCCCGGCCCCTGGCGACCATGCTGGCAGCGCCTTGTCCTGCTTGCCAGCACCTGCTAGCGTTTCCCTTCCCGTCGGCCCCCTGGGGACCCCCAAGGAAGGAGTGGAGGTGCTGGGCTGGGAGCAGAGACCCTGGGTTGTCACCTCAGGCTTCATCCTGGCTCCCCCAGAGGAAAATCTAAACCTCCCCTCCCCCCCCAGCTGGGACAGGAAGAACCCGGAGCCCTGGAACCGCCTGAGCCCCAATGACCAGTACAAGGTACCTCCTGGTGGCTCTGGGGCTGCACCCCCATCTACTTGTCTCTTGGTTGCGGGACCCACCCCTCAGCACCCCCACAAGCAGTGGGAGGCCGGGGGCACTCAACACAATCCCCTTCCCCTCCCGCAGTTCCTTGCCGTTTCCACTGACTACAAGAAGCTGAAGAAGGACCGGCCAGACTTCTGACCTGGGCTGGGGTGAACGTCCCAGTAACCACCGCCAGCCTCCCAGCCCCCACGTCCAGCTCCTGCTTACACAGGCGGGTTCCCACGCAGAGGGGGGCGCCTCCCCCCTCCCTCTTCCCATGTTCCAGCGGAAGCGCCTCTGACCCCCAGCTTGAGTCCCTGGGGTGGTGGTGGGGGAGGAGTCAGGGCGCAGCAGTATCCAGGTCAGCCCAAAAGGCCCTCCCCAGCCCCCCACCCCTCCCCAGGCCTTGCAGGGTGTGGCCAGGCCACGGCTACGTGTTAAGCGTGGCCTACGTGAGCCAGGAGCAAGCAGAGGCCTCCGAGTGCCAAGTAACGACGTGGCAGGTCCCACATTAGCCCAGGCCCCAGGCGCTGGTCCAAGGCGGTGCCGCTCTGGCTCGGCTGGGCTCGTCCCGGGCTGCCAGCCTGCCCGTGAGGCACTACACCCAGGGAGGAGCCGGCTCGCCCAGCCTGCTGCCTCCCGCCACGGGCACACCCCCCACCCAGCACCTGGGCCTCCCCTGCCATCCCCCCGCCCTCCCTTGCTCCCTCTGTCCCTGGGGATCAAACAGAAGCAGCCGTGGGCAAAATACAATTTCATTTAACAAATTGAATTTGCTGCGCCTGCTAATCACGTCTGGTGTCGGCTCTGATCAGAGACAGGGAGGAGGCGGCAGCCCCGGGGGTCCTCGTGTGGTGGTGGGGGGGGAGGGAGAAACACAGTGGGGGAGACAGACCAGCACGGGCCCCGGGGACCCCCTCCCACAGTAACAGAAGCCCAGGGCAGGTTAGCATTTTATTAGATAAAAACGGAAAGGAGGTGCCGGGTCCTTCCTCTGGCTCACGGGGCGGCGCCCCTCCCCCGACAGCAGGGCGCGGGTAACACTGAGATGGTGGGAGACGTCCTGGCAAACAGCCCCCCGTCTTCTAAGTCCTGTTAGGAGATCTGCTCAGCGGCAAATCGTGGGCGGGGACCGGGAGCGGCTCTTCCACGAAGCGGGGGGCTTGCCCCAGTCTGGCACAGAACCCGGGCGGCGGCGAGGAAGAAACCCCGTCTGCGCGCCTCGGCTCCGGTGCCTTCAGTGCTCCTCGAAGCCAGGCATGGGGAAGGCCCTGGCAAAGCGCTCCACCCGCTGCCTGAGGTCAGCCAGCTGATGTCTGGTTTCTGGGTCGCTGAGCAGGAAGGATTTGAAGTCCTGGAGCTTGGCTAGAGGGGGGGGAGGGGAAGGTGGTCAGAGCCGGGGGGAGGGCAGCTGGGGCGCGGGCGGGCGCTGGAAAGCGGCAGGGGCGTGCCCCGCACTCACCCGTCTTGCTCTTCACCTCCAAGCCAATGCCGACACCTTCATCGATGAAGCCCACGACTCGGCGGAAGTCATCCTCACGGAACTGCCGGGAGGTCAAGGCGGGGGCCCCTGGCAGAGGCAGGAGAGGGTGAGCAGGGCCCACGCGCGCCTGGCGGCCACCCACCTCCCGGGCGCAGCCTCACCGAGCCGCAGGCCCCGGGCGTGAGCGCGCTCCGGTCTCCGGGGCAGGTGTTCTTGTTGGCCGTGATGGACACGAGCTCCAGCACCCGCTCGGCCCGAGCCCCGTCCAGGCCCTTGGGCCGAAGGTCCACCAGCACGAGGTGGTTGTCGGTGCCACCTGAGGCGGGGACAGTCACGGGGGAGCGGTGAGCCGCGGGCCTCTACTGAGGTGGCAGAGCCTCTCGCCACTCCCCCGGCTCACCCGACACCAGCGAGTAGCCCCGCTCCAGCAGGGCGTCCGCCATGGCCTTGGCGTTCTTCAGAACCTGCAGAGAATACTCCCGGAACATGGGGGTGCAGGCCTGGAGAGCAGACAGCACCTGTGACCCCAGGCCCCGCCCCTCCGCCCCTCCACCCCCGCGGTGAGGACCCCCGGACTCGGCCCCTCCCCTCCCGGGTAGGAAAGCGTAGGCCTCAGCCTCCAGGCCAGCCCCGCGCCGGCCCGCACAGGCTTCCCGACCTGCTTCAGGGCCACAGCCACGGCGGCGATGGCGTGGTTGTGGGGGCCCCCTTGCAGGGAAGGGAACACGGCAAAGTTGATTCGGTCCTCGAACGTGTACGGGATCTCGCGGCCAGTCTTAGGGTCCACAGTCCGTACCCCCTTCCGGTAGAAGATGAGCCCTGACCTGCGTGAGAAGCGGCTGTCAGAGCTGAACTGAAAAGGGCGAGCCGGGAAGGCCGGGGGAGCTGGCGGGCCAGGCGCCCCGCGCGGCTCCGCTGTGCTCGGGGAGCCAGATTCCAGGCAGCGGGAGGGGCAGCCCCTCAGCCCTGCCCGGCCCGGCCCGCGGGTCAGGGTCAGGCCGGTGCGCGCTGCAGGTGGGAACCATCTCCTCAAGGACTTCCTCTCGGCCCAGCCGGCACCGCCCGGGAGCAGCGTGGGAAGGGGGGGAGGCGAGCCGGGGTCTCCGGGAAGGCTCACCTGGCCCCCCGCAGGGTCTTGTGCGTGGTGGTGGTGACGACGTCCGCATGCTCGAAAGGGGAGGGGATCACCTTGGCCGCCACCAGGCCGCTTATGTGGGCCATGTCCGCCAGCAGGTGTGCGCGGACCTCATCACACACCTGGGCAGAGGACAGGCGTCGGCCCGGGGAGGCCCGGACAGGCAGCCCCTCCTCCAACACCTCCCGCCGTCCCCGCGGGGCGCGCCCACCTCTCTCATTCGCGCGTAGTCAATGAGGCGGGCGTAGGCGCTGGTGCCGGCGATGAGGAGCCTCGGCCGGAAAAGTCGAGCGGTCAGCGCCAGCTGCTCGTAGTCGATGAGGCCGGTCTGGGGCTGGACAGGCAGACAGACAGCGCTGAAGCCCTGAGCAGGCAGCAGGGTAGCTCGCGCTCCTCCTCGACCCCGAGGGCCCGGGATGCCAGTCCTCGCCTCCCCGGGAGCTGCGCCAGGCCTGCACGGCCCCCCGCCCACGCCTGGGCGCGCTCACGTTCAGCTTGTAGGGCATAGACTCGAAGAAGATGGATGTGGCTGAGATCCGCTTGACGTCAGACATGTAGCCGTGAGTGAGACTGGCAGGGGGAGAAAGTGAGAAGGCGTCAGGGGGGCACAACTCCCAGACTTAACCCTTCCTGCCACCCAAAGGCCCATCTCTGGAACACCACTCCTAACAAGCACCACCCTTGCAGCCGTCCTCTGTGGCGCCCACCCCGGGGTTTTATCTCCACCCACGCTGCCGTGCAGGGCAGGGAGGGGCGGGTCCCACCCGCGGGGCACATGTCAATGTTCCCTCAACCACTCCTCTCCCGCACCCACCTGCCCACCGTGGGTCCTCTCCTATGCCCACCACCCAAGCCGTCTGTACTCACTGGCCCCCATCAGGCAGGTCCAGGCCCATGATTCGGTCGTGAGGCTGCAGAAGGGCTGTGTAGGCGGCCAGGTTGGCCGGGGAGCCCGAGTAGGGCTGGACATTGACTCCCCACTGCGCAGGATCCAGGTCAAAGGCCTCCAAGGCCCGGCGCTGACACAGCAGCTCAATTTCATCCACCACCTCTGCTCCCCCATAATATCTGCCACAGGAGACAGGTATACACAGGCTCAGAGGGCCTCCCTGGTGGCCTAGGGGTTAAGTCTCGGCGCTGTCACCCCTGGGGCCTGAGGTGGACCCCAGCCAGGGAGCTATCCACATGGAGAGCAGACCTCTCCTGTCTGGCCACTGCTCCCCTCAGCCGTGGATTTCAGTGGATCTGCCTGTTCTGCTCCCCACTCTGTCTCTGGTGAATCTTCTCACACCCCGCCCCCCCCGCACCTCTGGCCTGCACCCCAGTTACTCTACAAAAATAAATAAATATTATTAAAAAAAAAAAAGGCCCAGAGAAAGGGCTCCATCCTCCCCCTCGATCAGCAGCGAAGAACAGGGAAGGCTACTCCTCTGCATACACTGGAGGGTACAGACAGGTGCCCCACCTGGGAGTGCCATCTGTGATGGTGCCCGCCAGTCCTCACCTCTTGCCAGGATATCCCTCCGAGTACTTGTTGTTCAGACAGGACCCCAGGGCCTCCAGCGCAGCTCGGCTGCAGAAGTTCTGCGGGGAGAGGGGCAATGTCAGAGGGCACTGAGGCCCTTTCCCTAGACCCCCCCGTGCCACCCTGCCAGAGCCCCAGGCTGCAGGGTGCCAGGCTTCACAGAAAAAGCTCTGCTCATTCAGGGTTCCTTGCCAGGCCTGGGACATGGGCAGAAACCCAGAGGCATCCTCAGAAACCCAGTCGTCAGGACGCAGGTCCCCTGCAAGGCCACTGCCACTGCTTTCAGTCCCTCTATGTTTCCAAGAGCGGGGAGGGCCCAGACTAGAGTGTAGGGGCCCCGGGAGGCTCTGTAAGTTCTCGAATGCTCCCGGTCCATGCCCCAGACTGGCCCTGCCTTTGCCTCAGAGGACAGTAAGAGGGCGATCGGCCCAGCAGTAAGGTCCTGCCTCTGCAAGGAGGGTCTGGAGAAACAGCAGTAAGATGACCTGTCAGCCCCAGCCCCCGCGCCCCTCCAGGCCCTCTCCCCGGGCCCCACCTCTGAGGCGATGAGTTCCAGGCCACGGCACTGCCTGTCCTTCTCCCTCTGCAGCAGCTCCCACACCTGAGGGTCACTTTCTGACAGGCTCTCCTGGCCTGTCCAGCCCCTGGTGGCTTCTCCAGTCTGGGTCCGGGCCGCCTCACGGTGCTGGCCCCGCAGGGCCGGCCTCCCCAGCTGACCACATCTCCGCAGCGGCTAGGGAGGAAAAGCATCCACAGTCTCTCAATAAACTCCACGCTCACCTGGCACCGGCTGCCCGAGGGCTGCAAACCCAGCAGCCAGCTGTCCAGGCTGTTCCAGTTCTCACCCCACCCCCTCAAAAGCCTGGCCTAAGAGCCAAGGTTGAGATCAACGTCCAGGGGGTGGTTCTGATTCGGTCCATTCACCTCACCTCAGGATCTCCCTCCTCACTGATCCGTGAACCACTCTGCACCGCCACAGGGCAAAGTTTGTTCTCCAGAAGACTATGCCTCTGGAACTCGGGGAACATTCACTGAGGTTCCAGCACCTCCCCCGCACTGCACAAAAGGGTCCCCCCTTAGGGCCTTCATAAACTGGTACCCCCACGGGGGAGAATGGTTAGGGGGTGAGGGTCTGCTAGCAGAGAAGCCAAACCCCACATTCTGTCTCTGTGCCCCCCACTTTCCACCTCCTTCCAGCCCACACAGCTGTGGGACCCCCGATGCAAGCAGCGGGCCCCGGTTGCATCAGCTGCGCCGCTCAAAGCTGGCGGGAGAGGCCAGGCAGGCCGGCCCGGCGGGGACCCCGCTGCTCGCCAGCTCAGGGTCACTGCCTCGGGTCTCGGCCTAATGCCACGTCAGGAGGCCCAGCGCACACGGTCGCGGGGACGGGGGTGCGGTGGGGGGCGATCGTGCCCCAGCGCGGCCCCGGGGGCCTCCAGGGCTCACTAGTTGCTCGCCTGCACCCCGAGAGCACAGACCACGTGCGTGGAACTGAAAAGCCGGAACCCCAGAGTTCGCATGAGAAGTGGCAGGAGGGGCCTGCTTTCCACAGGCCATCACTGCGGGGACGGACTTACCCGAGTCGCCCACAGCAGGGAGAAGGGCAGCATCGCAAGCCCAGGCGGAGCAGCAGGAGGCCAGCCGCGAACTCGGCCGAGCGAACCCCGAGGCGGGAGAGCGACCCGAGGGCGCATGCGCCAGGAAAGCGGCGGGCCCCGCGGGGAGGGCTGCGCATGCGTGAGGTCCGGGCGCTTCTGGGAGTTGTAGTTTTCTCCTTTTCTTCCGTTTTCTCTCCCTCTCTCGTCCGAAAGCTGAGAGGTCCAGGGCTGCGCGCCCCATCTCAGTGTTCCGAATCTCTTCGGGAGCTTCCCCCTCGCGTGTTGTCCAAACGACAGTCACTGGGGGCCCACTGATGGCCTAGCACTGCTGCTGCCTGGGGACTCCCGACGTCGCTGGACAAGACAGCGGGGTGCACCGAACAGCACCCTGGATGAGAGACCTGAGTCCACGTGTCAGATCTGGGGCTAACCAGCAAGTCAGCCCATCGGGGCACCCTTACGCTCGCTTGCAAAGCCGCAACAACATGTGGTGGGGAGTAAATGAGACTTTGCATGGAAACATTCTCTGGGATGGACTGTCCTCCCGCTGGTCCTCTGACCACACACCTGCGTCCTCCGTGGTCCTCGCCTCCTCCTCCCCCTGGAACATCTGGGCGTTGGTGAGGGATGCTGTCCTCTCACTTGTTGAGCTCTGTTCCCTGTTCATCCCTTTTAGGGCTACAGATCCTTGGAACTGGAAGAACATCCCTTTTATCCTGCGCTCACCCTTTGGGGGAGGGACTTTTTGACCCCTCCAGGAATAGGTTCCCAAATCTGGACCTCAGAATCGCCTGGGAAATGTGATACACATATGAGGGTTGGGCCTCAGCTCACAGGTTCTGATTGAATACATTTGCCCACTCCCACTGACATACAGCAAACCTCCTCAGAGGTTTTAATATACAATGAATCCGAGAACCACTGCCGTACACAGCAACATGGCACACTCACTCATTCATTTATTCACTCAGTCGACGCATACTCTGTGTCAGGTGTCCCATAGTCCTGGAGATCTAAAAAGAGAGCAGGGCCTCTCTGGCGGGCAAGGGGTTGAGCGTCAGCACTATGAAGCTCTCCACAGCCTCTGCAGCACGAGTTCCATCCCTGGCCAGGCTGCTACCCACATGGCACAGCAGACCTCTCCTGTCTCCCCGCTGCTCCCCTCAGCAGTGATTTTCAGTAGATCCACCTGTTCTGCTCCCCACTCTGTCTCTGGTGAATCCTCTCACCCCCCGCACCTCTGGCCTGCACACCAGCTCTTGTGCATAAATAAATAAATCTTTAAAAAAATGGAAAGAAATCACTGACTGCTGGGATAGCAAGAGGGAAAAAATAACAAAATGTAGCAAGTGCCATTACCCAGATGTCCACAGCTCTGGGAGGAGGAGAGGGTAGCTGTGAAGGAGGCAGTTTCCTGAGTCAGAGGATTAGAGGGAGACAGCCCATCAGGAAAAGAACATGTCCACATGCTCTTTAGGACACACTTTTTTTTTTAATTAATTAATTTATTTATACAAGCACTGGGTACAGTCAGAAGCGCGGGAGGGTGAGAGAATTCACCAGAGCCAGAGCGGAGAGTAGAACAGGCAGACTGATGGAATACACTGCTGAGGGGAGCAGCGGGCGGCAGGAGTCTGCGCCATGTGGGACCCTCGCTGGTGGCCGGGGTGCGGCTGAGGATCAAACTGGCGCTGCAGAGGCTGTGGGCAGCTTCACAGCCCAGCGCTCAACTGCTGCGCCACCAGGGGAGGCCCTAAGACATGCTTTTTTAAAAATTGAGGTACAGAGGCCTCCCTGATGGCGCAAGGGATTAAGCACTGCACTGTGAAGCTGTCCACAGCCTCTGCAGCAGGAGTTCGATCCCCAGCTGGCCAGGGAGCAACCCACATGGCGCAGCAGACCTGTCCTGTCTCCCAGCTGCTCCCCTCAGCAGTGTATTTCAGTAGATCTGCCTCTTCTGCTCCCCACTCTGTCTCTGGTGAATCCTCTCACCCCCTGCACCTCTGGCCAGTACCCCGGCTCTTGTATGCATAAATAAATAAATCTTTAAAAAAATAAATTGAGGTATAATTGACATAAACATTCTAGTAGCCAGATGCATGGCATATTGGTTTGATATTTATATATATTACAAAATGATCACCACAATAAATGCAGTTAACATCTGTCACCATACAGAGCTACATTTTTTTCTTGTGATGAGGAACATCCTTTTATTACCACTTTGGAAGCGAGGGGGCTGAGGTCAGCTGAGGCCTAATCTGCTAATTCCAATCACTTTCGCGGGACCCGCCTACCAGGGGTCCCCTTAGCTCTCGCCGGCCTTTCTGCCCGGCCTGGCCTGGGCGCTTTTTCCAGCCTGGTGTTTTCCAGCCTGGCTTCCTCCTCCGCCCATCTCTGACCCCAAGGCACTTGCACCTCCCTCCTTTCAGCTGAGTCCCTCGCCCATCTGTCCGCCCGCCCAGTATTTAGTTTTGCTGACCGATTCTCACCCCCAGGACCATCTGGGTCGGAGTCACCTGTGACTCAGTTTCCCGCGGGCGCAAGGGGCCCGCCCGCCCCGACTCGGTGCCCAGACCCGGGACTCCGGGCGCAAGAAGCTGAAGACAGAAGTTGTTCTGCGCCCCGGCTTGTGGGTACCCCTCCCTCGCCCCAGCCGGGGGTCCCGAGGGGCGGGGGGCGAGCGAGCTGGAGAACTGCTAATGAAGCCGCAGCCAATTAACGCCCCGGCCAGGGCCGGGGGCGGATAAAATTAGCCGCGGCGGGCGCGGGAGGGAGCCGCGGGCGTGGGCGGAGGGCGGGCGGCGGCCGGGGGGGCTTGTTTGCGGGCGGCGCGCGGCGGCGGCGCGCTGGGCTCTCCAAACTCGCCGCGGGCCCTGCCCCCACCCTCGCCGCGGGCCGCCTCCCCCCTCCGCCTGCAAACTCAGCGCCCACGAAATTAGGAAGGGAGAGGAAGATCGATGACTCCAGACCCGCCGACACCGCGCCCCTCCCCCCGCCCGCGGCCGGGCAGGTGGTCCGCGCCCCGCCCGCGCCCCCGCCGGGGCCTCCGCGCCGCCCCACGGCGGCCCGAGCGCTGCTGCGCCCCTCGGGGAGGAAAGCCCCGCCTCGGGCGGCGCCCCGACCCCGAGGGCCGCCCCATCCCCGCCGGGCCGGCCCTCGACGACCTCCGGGACGCGCTCGGCCCCTCCCGGCCTCAGTTTCCCTCCAGAGCGCCGGGGGGGCGGGCCCGGCCGGGTCGCCCGGACGCCAGCCCGCAGCCCCCCGCCCCGCTCCCCCCACAAAGGCCTCACGCAGACGCGTATTGGATTTCGCTTTATTTTGTTCCCTCTCCCGTGTGTGGCGGCGGAGAAACATCACCGCGAGGCGGCGGGCGGGGCGGGCGGGGCGGGCTGCGGGCGGGGGCGACGGCCTGGACGCCGGCATCGCGGCTGGGGGCGCGGCCGGGGCGGGGGGCCGCGGGGGCGGGCGGGGCGCGCACGGGCGCGGGGGGCGCAGCGGCGGCTCCAGGCCTGCGCCGCCTTCGCGTGGGGACGGGGCGGGGCAGCTCAGGGCCCGGGGGGCGGGGAGGGGAGGCCGGGCGGGGCGGGGCGGGGGCCGGCGCTGCGGAGGCTGCGGGCAAGGGAGAGGCCGACCCCGCGCCGGGGCAGAAGGGGAGCCCAGTTTGGACGTCGGGGCACGCGGGGGCCGCCTCCGAACCCCGTCTGCCTGGGACCGCGCTCTCCTCCCCCACTCGGGGTGGCAGCCCCGTGGGCACTCCCCAGAAGGCGGGGGCCCCACGCCGGCCGGTGGTCCCCGGGGGCCTGTGCGCCTCGGTGCCCAGAGTGGAAGGGGCGGGCGGGGCGCGGAGGGAGCCACTGCGGGAGGCCTGGGTGGGGGGGCGGGGAGCTCGGGGCTGGGGCCGGGGCGGGAGGCGCTATCCAAAGTAGGGGTGCTCGCTCTGGAAGTTGTAGTCGGGGCACACCTTCTGCACCAGTTTGTAGTCGAAGCTGAGGAAGGAGACGAAGATGCAGATGACTTTGAAGGGCTTGGCGCACAGCCAGGCGGCCTGGCTCTGCGTGTGCTCGGTGAAGCAGGCCTGCGAGGGGTCGTACAGGCACGGGCGGTGCTTGCGCGCGCGGTTGGTCTTCTCGTACTCCACGTGGCAGTTGAAAGCGCGCGACTCCTTGGCCCCAGGCACGCCCAGCGCGCCCCCGAGCGGCCCCGCGAGCGCGCCCCCGAGCGCGCCCCCGAGCCCCGGGGCCGCGATCCCCAGCGGGGGTCCCAGCGCGGGGAGCACCCCCTCCAGGGCCAGCGTGGACTGCAGAGGGTGGGGGGCGGGCCCTGGCAGCCAGACGCCCCCAAACTCGACGCGCTTAGAGGGGGGCACGATGCTGACGCTGAGGTTGCCCAGGCTGGAGGAGTTGTGGCGGAAGTACACGCTGAAGGTGCCGTTCACGTGGTCCACGATCTTGCCCGTCACGAGCAGCGAGAACTTGAGGGTGTGCACGCGGAAGTAGAAGTCGCCCCAGCCGAAGATCTTCTTGGCGCGCGCCGCCTTCACCGACGGCTTCCTCTTGGCGCGCGGCGCGGGCACCGACCCCGCCGCCCCCGCGAGGGCGCCCGTGTGGTTCGCCGGCCACGCCCAGCTCCAGGCCCGCGCCGGGCCCGCGCCGCCCGAGGGCCGGGGCTCCGGGAGCGGCTGGCCGGGGGCGGCCCCGCGCAGCTCGAGGTACTGCGGCCTCCCGGACTCGGGCATCTGGGCGCTCACGACCTGTGGAGGGAGAAAGAGGGCGAGGAAGGGACGCTGGGGTTGTTCTGGCGGCCCCAGGGGACAGCCGCGGGGAGGCCTCGGGGAGCCCTTTCCACGGGGAGCCCAAGACGCAGGGGCGCGCAGGGAGCGGCCCTTTCCAGCTGCGGCCCTGGCCGGGGCCCTTGTCCAGCGCGCGGCGTGTCTGCACAGGACGCGGGGGTGCTCGTGCTCTCCCCGGGCCCGGGCGGGTCAAGAAAGTCGCAGCCCGTGCGGGTCCGGGTGCTGGACCCTGCCGGGGTGTCCAGCCTAGAGGCTGGGTGGTTGGGCCGCGTGGACTGGGCAGGCCAGGCCGTGGCTGCTGTCACCGCTCAGTGTCAGAAGAGAGGTGCTCGCTCCCCCGGCCTCTCAGCGCCCCCACCCGGCCTCAGCCCCCGCTCCCCATCCTGCGGGTCCACAGCCCGGCCCAGGTGAGGACAGCAGTGGGGATCCGGGCTCCCTGGGCGGAGCCCCCTGGGGCCCTCCAGGGCTGCTCCTGCCAGAAGGCCGCCGGCGCTGGGGCCGGCTCCCAGGGCAGAAGCTGCACCAGCCCCCCACCTGGCTCGCGTCTCAGGTGGCGAGCGACGGGGGAGACAGCCCGGGCGCGAGTACAAGATGGATCGAGAGGTGGGAGCGGCAGGGCCAGGCCCGGGCCATCAATTACCCGGGGTGGGGGCCCGGCTGGGAGGGACGCGATGGCGGGAGCAGGAGAAAGAAATATGGAGATGCCGCTCCGGCGGGCGCGGGCGGGAGGGAGCCGCGTGTGTCAGGGAGGCTGCGCCGGCGGCCTCGGGGCTCGCGTGGCCCTTCCTGCCTGTGGGTTCAGACGGGGAGGGAGGGAGGGGGGCCATGCGCGTCAGTCTGGGGGGGCTGCTTCTGGTAGCTGGGATGGCGTGTGTCTGTGCCTGTGGTGAGGGGGGCGGCCTGCGGCGGCCGTGCATGCGCGCGCGCGTGTGTGTGTGTGTGTGTGTGTGTGTGTGTAGCTGGAGTGACTGTGTGTGTCTGCTGGTGGCTGGAGTGACTGTGTGTGTCTGCTGGTGGGTGTGTGTGGCTGGAGTGACTGTGTGTGTCTGCTGGTGGTTGTGTGTGTGGCTATAGTGACTGCTGGTGGTGGTTGTGTGTGTGATTGTAGTGACAGTCTGCTGGTGGGTGTGTGTGGCTGGAGTGACTGTGTGTCTGCTGGTGGGTGTGTGTGGCTGGGGTGACTGTGTGTGTGTCTGCTGGTGGGTGTGTGTGGCTGGGGTGACTGTGTGTGTCTGCTGGTGGGTGTGTGTGGCTGGGGTGACTGTGTGTCTGCTGGTGGGTGTGTGTGGCTGGGGTGACTGTGTGTGTCTGCTGGTGGGTGTGTGTGGCTGGGGTGACTGTGTGTGTGTCTGCTGGTGGGTGTGTTGGCTGGAGTGACTGTGTGTGTCTGCTGGTGGGTGTGTGTGGCTGGGGTGACTGTGTGTGTCTGCTGGTGGGTGTGTGTGGCTGGGGTGACTGTGTGTGTGTCTGCTGGTGGGTGTGTTGGCTGGGGTGACTGTGTGTCTGCTGGCGGAGGCTGCATGTCTACTGTAGCTGCACACATGTGCTGTACGTGTGTCTGCACTGACTGTCTTTGTCCTGCGTGGTGATCCAGCGCATCCTGTGTGCCTGGTGCGGTTGTGCGTCTGTGTGTGTGTGAGCGTGACCGCCTGTGATTCCCCGGGGGCGTCAGCTTCCCCGCGCGCGAGCGCCTGTCATCTCAGGCCCCGCGTCTTGGGCTCCCAGGGTTGCGTGTCGTGTCTGCGTCTCCACAATGACAGCACAAGTGTGACCCGCTGTTTCTCCCGGGGATCCAGGGGTGGGGGTACAGGTGCCCCAGGCACCCCACAGCGGCCGCGAGCTGAGCGGTGGCCGGTGAAGCGGCCGGCGGCAGGGCCCCTGGAGGGCGCACGGGGTGCTGTGGCCTAAGGGGGCGCCGGGGGTGCAGCTGCCGGGCTGGAGTGGCCACGCCTGTGCGCGGCCCGCAGCGCCCGGGTTCTGAACGCCGCGCGCCCCCGTCATGCATATTTATGGCCCCCTCGTTCCTCCGTCCTCCTCCCGCAGGTGGGGGGGGCCGGGAGTGATAAACTCAGACAGACGAGCTCAGCCTGCGAGCACCACAGTGGGGGCCCGAGGGGGCTGGGGGAGGGGCTGCCGGCGGGGGGGGGGGCGCCCCGCGGGGTCACGGCCCCAGGAGCCGGGTTGGCCAGGGCTGAGCTGGGGGGGGTGCGGGAGACGGGGTTTGGTGTTTCCAGGGGGTTTGGTGTTTCCAGGGCGAGGCCAAGGGGTGCATGAGTGGGGGGGCCTTGCGCTCAGACTCCACCTCCTCGACCCTCTGGATCCCGCCGCGGCCCTTTCTCCGGGCGGCCAGCCGTGCCGCCCCAGGACCCCGAATGCCCCCACGCCCCCCGGCCCCGGCGCCACCCCCGCCCTGAGTTCGGCTCCGGCCTGCCGAGGAGCCGCGGCCGGGCAGGGCCTGGAGAGGCGCGTCTGGGGTGCGGGGCGCCTGCCGGCCCTCTGATCCGCACGCACTGCTGCCCACGCTTCCCCGAGCCCCGCACCCCCTCCCCGGGCAGCGACCTTGGTGGGGCGCCCAGGGGCGAGGCTGCGGGCAACGAGCCGGGAAACGGGGCGCGGAGGGTGGGACATGAAGGCCAGGCCGCTCCCTCCGGCTCCGGCTCCCTCCCCGGCGCCCCTTCCCGCGTCTTCGCTTCTCCCCCCAACGCTTCCCCGCCCCCTCCCGGCCCCCCGCGTCCCCGGGACGGTCCCGCCCCCCTGTCCCGGGGCGTCTGTGTCTCCCCCGAGGGTGGGGCTGGGGGTGCGGCGGGCCGGGGCGCGGTGCTCCCCCCGCGGCGGGGGCGTCGGTGCCGTCCGAGGGGCGCTCGCTCCGGAGCCGCTTTAATTAGGCTAATTGGGCGCCGTGACATTTGCGGACGCGGCCCGGCGGTGGGCGGAGGACGGGCCGCGGCGGTGGGGAGGCGGGGGGTGTGGTCCCCGCGCCCCCAGTCCCCGGCGGGGCGGGCGGGAGCCCAGCCAGGAGCGCTTCGCCCCCCGGCCGGAGCCCGCGCTGGAGGGGAGCTGGGGCGCCTGGAGGGGAGCTGGGGCGCCTGGAGGGGAGTTGGGGCAGCTGCCCGCGAGGAACAAACTCCACTGGGGGGGGCGCCCCTGGACGGGGTGCTGGGAAGAGGGGGAGGCCCGAGCCCGCGGCCCCCAGCCGCATTGCGGGGCACCCCTCCCCGGCCGCCGGCGCCGCTCCCGGCTGGGTCAGGCGGGGCCACCCCGACTCTGACTGACGGGGGAGGCGCGGGCTCGGCCTGGCGGGGAAGGGCGGGAACAGCCGGGCCGAGCCGGGGCCGTGCAGAGGTGGGGGGCGGCGTCAGGGGGTGCGGGGCTGGGGCTGCTGAGAACCGCGGCGGCTGTGGGGGTGAGGACAAGTGCGGCGGGAGGGCCAGGCCAGGGCGCCGGGGGCAAAAATGGAGGCGGGCTGGGGCCTCGACAGGGCGGGCGCAGCGGAGGCAGGTGGGCCGGGGTGACAGGGTGGGCAGGGCCGGCAGAGATGGGGGGTCAGATGGGGCGGGGAGCAGGGGATGGGTGGGGGACAACTGGATGGGAGCCAGAGGGAGGCCTGGGGGGGGCAGGGGCGGAGAACAAGGGATGGACACTGGGGGGCTGGGGAGGGCAGGGGCGGGGGACAAGGGATGGACACTGGGGGGCTGGGGAGGGCAGGAGCGGGGGACAAGGGTGGACACTGGGGGGCTGGGGAGGGCAGGGCAGGGGCGGGGGACAAGGGATGGACACTGGGGGGCTGGGGAGGGCAGGGGCGGGGGACAAGGGATGGACACTGGGGGCTGGGGAGGGCAGGAGCGGGGGACAAGGGTGGACACTGGGGGGCTGGGGAGGGCAGGAGCGGGGACAAGGGATGGACACTGGGGGGCTGGGGAGGGCAGGGGCGGGGGACAAGGGATGGACACTGGGGGGCTGGGGAGGGCAGGGGCGGGGGACAAGGGATGGACACTGGGGGCTGGGGAGGGCAGGGGCGGGGGACAAGGGATGGACACTGGGGGGCTGGGGAGGGCAGGGGCTGGGGACAAGGGTGGACACTGGGGGGCTGGAGAGGGCAGGGGCGGGGGACAAGGGTGGACACTGGGGGCTGGGGAGGGCAGGGGCTGGGGACAAGGGTGGACACTGGGGGCTGGGGAGGGCAGGAGCGGGGGACAAGGGTGGACACTGGGGGGCTGGGGAGGGCAGGGGCGGGGGACAAGGGTGGACACTGGGGATGGGCAGAAATGGAAACGGGATGGGGGCGGGGAGACGGGGGCGTGTATGCGTGTGGTGGGGGCAGTAACGGGGGTGCAGGGACTATTTGGCAGGAGCTAGGCTGCTGGGGGTGCAGAGACCTAGGGGCGGGGGTGGGCAGGAAGGCCGGCGGGCCTGAGATGGGGTGCGGGCCAGGAAGGAGGGGGGCACGGCCAGGAGCTGAGGGCAAGTGTAGGTGACGAGTCAGGAGGCGGCGCAGCCCGGCAGGGTCGGGCCGAGGCGGGGCCGGGCGGCTGGAGCCGGAGACCCCCGCCCAGCCCCCGTAGCGTGCGGGGCGCCCCCGCGGGGCGGGCTGTGCCCTTGGGCCGCGCCCCTCCCCCGCCCGCCCGCCCGCGGCCTGCAGCGCGAGGCTCACCGTTATCTGAATTTTGATTTTATTTTATTTTATTTTATTTCCCTGCTTCCTACAGCCGGCGCAGTCCCCCCGGGAACGGCGCCCCCCGCCCCCCGCCCCGCGCCTCACTTTATTATTGCAATAAATGTGCCTATAAAGGCGCGGGCTCCGGGCGCGGCGCGGGGAGGCGGGCGCGGCGCGGGATGCAATTTCCCGAAGCCGAGCCGGGGGCGGAGGGGGGTGGGGGGCGGGAGGGGGTGGGGGGTGGAGGGGCGGCGGGAGGGGGAGCCGCGCGGCCTCCAGCGCTCCCGCCAGCCGCCCCCGCCCCCGGCGCGCGCCCGCCGCATCCCCCGCGGCGCCCCGGCCCGCGCCCCCCCACGACGGCCCTCCCCGCCCCACGGAGGCCCCGGGCCCCCACCCTGTCCCCGGGCCCCCACCCTGTCGAGGAGCAGGGCTGGGGGGAGTTGCCCCATCTCCCCGCCAGTGACTTCATCTCTGACCCCTGCGGTGACCCCACCTCTTCCCTGGCTTCTCTGGGGGCTCCTCTCTCCCCTTCCCCATCTCTGGCCCCAGTCACCCTCCCGCGCCCCGTTACGGCCCCCCCTCCTGCCTCGCCTCCTCCCCCGGCACCCGGCCTCCTCCGTCCAGCTCCCCCTCACCTCAACCAGTGATCCCCTAAATTCTGCTTTGCGACGCCTCCCCCTCCCACACTGCAGACTCCGGCCTAGGGAGCTGTCAGCGCCCCCTCTCCGGTACCCCTGGCCCCGCTGAGGCCCCTGATTACCCCCAAATCCTCATCACCAGCTCCAGGCCCAGCCGGGGCTGCACGTGCCTAAGTGGCCCAGTCAGAGATTAGCCGAGGGGCAGGGAGGGGGTGCACAGGTGGGAGGGGCCGGGGCCAGCTTGAGAGACAGCTTGGGGGGCCTAATCCTTCCCCCAGGCAGGGCAGAGCTGGGAGATCCCACAGGGCCCCGCCCCTGCTCTCCCCAGCTAATTGGTGATTAGTGATTAGTGATTAGTGACTATTGATCGCCTGCTGGTTCTCCAGGGAGGCAGCTGCTCTGCTGGGGGCGCGGAGGGCGGAGAGGGGAGCAGGGGAGCCCCTACCGGGAAGACTCAGAGGAAGGCCTGGAGGAGAGGCCTGAGCCCAGGGGCAGTGGGAGCGGGGAGTCGCTTGCCGGGGAGAAGTGGGGAGCCCAGCCCTGCAGGGGGGCTTGGGGCGGGGTCGGGGATGGGGTGAGAGTACTTGGCAGTGAGGGTTTCCAAAGAAAACCTCGGGGAGCTGCCCCGCCGCCTCTCGCCCAGCGTAACTCGCTGCCAGGCCTGGCCCAGAGCCGCGCGGACACGCAGCCTGGACACAGCAGCCCCTCCTCAGGCTCCAGCCCCGCACCCCTGCCAGCCGCGCCCAGAGCCCCGCCAGATGCACTCAAGCCCAGCCTCACACACAGCACCGGCGCCCCAGCACACGGGGTCCCCTCGGGGTGCACACGGGCACTCCGACGCACGCACACATGGACGCCCGCGGTCTGCACACGCAGTAGACACACACAGGCACACGAGCCGACTAAAGGGCAGGTGCCCCCCCAGCAAACCCACACCCCAGCTCGGAGGCCCGCGGCTGCAGCTGTCCCCGCACAGCTACGCCCCTGTCTCCGTCCTCACGCTTCCCCTCCATCAAGTCTCCGCCAGATGTTCCATCCCCTTCAGGGGCAAAGGAAATGAAAGCACATCTGCCCCCGGGAGCTTATCTGAGCACGAGGGGGGAGCGGAGGGGCGCGGGAAGGAAGGTGGGGCCCACCCGGCCCTCTCGCAGGCCTCCTGGCACCGTGGCTGGGCCCCAGCCGCCTGAGCCCTCCAGGGGCAGAGTGGGAAGCAAGTCCCGAAGTGGCTCTGCCCCTGGGTGTGGAGTTTGTGGGGGGGCCCCGGGCGCAGGCCAGCCTCAAGGTCACCGGCCGCTGGAGTCAGCGCCACCTGCCACGCTCGCAGGGCAGCTCGCGCCCGCGGGGGCTGCTGAGTGCGATTTGGCGGAGCAGGCGGGGGTGCGAATGTTGGGGGGAGCTACACCCCTTCCAGACGCTGCAGGGCCTGGGGGCTGGGGTCCAGGGAGTAGGGCTTGGGAAGCTGCCCCCAAACTAGGTAAGTCACAGTTGGGGTGCAGGAAACAGGTAAGGGCCGGGCAGGGGAGGCTGACGGGAGGAGGCAGGGGCCGGCCCTGGCGGGACACAGAGGGACACGGGGGGCGCCACGGCTGCCCGGGGAGGCGGACACTTGCCCTCGGCCACTGAAGCCGCCGCCCTGCAGCACGCCCGCCACACAGGCCCCCGCGCCCCCGGACCCCAAGCAGCCCGGATGCCCCTGCGCGCACACGGCACGGGGCCGACGCCTCCAACTTGAGAAGGGGCAGGTCACGCCGGGCCCCTCGGCCTCCGGACCGCACTCGGGGACCTCCGGGCACGGCGGGCGGGGGGCGGGGGAGCCTCGCGGACGGCCCCGCGGCGCGCAGCCGGGAGAGGGGCGTGTCCGGAGGCCGCGCGGGGCCGCGTCTCCGCGGGCCGAGCCGGGGACCGCAGCGAAGTTCGGCCGCGTGCGGGCGCGCGCCTGGCAGGGCTCGGCGCGCGGGGCTCACCTGGCGCGGGGACGGGCGCGGGGCGGGCGCGGAGGCGCGGGGCTGCCACCCGCCGGCGCGTCTGTCTGTCTCGCACTCCCGCTCCGTCTGGCGCGCTCGCGGGTCGTGCCGCGGCCCCTCCCCCGCCCGGGCCGGCTCCGCGCCGGCCCCCGCCCGCCCCCGCCCGCCCCCGCCCGCAGAACTTGCGCGGGGCGCGCGCCCGCCGCGGAGGGGGCGACTGTCTGTCCGTGCCCCCGCGCCGCGCAAAGTTGGGGCGCTCGGGGGGGGCAGGGCGGGCGCACGGAGCCCCTCGCGCCCGGACCCCGCGCCCGCGCCCGCCGCCGGCGCGGCCGCCCTCACCTTCCTCAGCAGCCACGGGCCGAGCAGCAGCAGCAGCCATTCCGGGGGCAGCCGCATCCTCGCGGAGGGCGCGCGGCGGGCGCGGGGCGAGCGGCGGCGGCGGGCAGCGCGGGCCGCGGACTGAGCCGAGCGCCGAGCGGAGCGCGGCGCCGGGGGCGGGGCGCGGGCGGGGGAGAAAGTTGGGTCTGACTCCGGCGGGCGGCGGGGGGCGGGGCGGGGCTCCGGCGCTCCAATCCCGGCCGCGCCCCGCGCGCCCCCTCCCGCCCGGCCGGGGCGCCGAAGGTGACTTTCACGCGGGCACGCCCGGCACGCCCCCCGCCCAGGTGCCGCGCCGCGGGGTTCGGCCGCGCCCCGCGAGCCCCCGCCGTGCGCGACGCGGAGCGGCCGGCCGGCCTCGGGGCTCGCGGGCCGCGCGCGGGGGGACCCCTGAGCCCCCGCGCCCCGGGGCAGGAGCGGGGCCCGGGCGGGCGGGCGGGGCCCCGGGCGGCCGCCGCGCGCTGACGGGGATGGATGGGCGCCCCGCGGCTCATTCGGCCCGGAGATGAGAATCATTGATCACGGACGGAAACCCCATCCCGTCTGTCAATAGGCCTGACGAACGGCGCCCGCCGCCCGCGCCCGGCTGGAAGCGCCTCCGTGGTCTGACACCCCGCGCGGGGCCGCCGTCCGCCTCTGCCCCCGCGCCCCGCCAGGCCCGGGCCTGCCCGGGGAGGGCGGGGCGTCCCCTCGCCTCGCCGCCCGGCCTCGGGGTGCAGGCCCCAGCCCTCCCCTCCGCTCGTCCCTCTGTCCCCCTCAGCGCCTCCAAACCGGCCCCTTCCTCCCGGGCCCTGTCCTTGTCCCCGTCCCCAGGCGCAGCCCGCCTGGCCGCGCGGCGCCTCCCCCAGGCCGGCCCTTCCCCGGGCCCTCAGCTGTCAGCCGCTGCTGCGCGGGGCTGGGGCCGTGGCCTGACAGCGCCTGGGCAGGAGCGGGGCGGCGGGAGTGGCCGGGGGCGCAGGCACACGGCGCAGACCCCGCGCACACCCGCACGGGCAGCCCACACCGCCGAGGTGGGCACCCAGGCGGGCGCAGCAGGCGGCGCCAGCACTCGCCGCGCACACAGGGCGCGCGGGCTCTCCCAGATGGAGATCCCGGGCCAGGGGCACACGCACAGGGACAGACAGACAGACAGAAAGCACCAGAAGACGAGCACACCCGGCCAGCACGCAGAGCCCGCACCCTCCTGGCCTTGGCGGGGAGACAAACAGCCACAGACAGGCGGACGCACAGGGCGTCACACTCAGCCAGGTGTCCGCTGCCCGCCAGCGGCCAAGGCGAGCCAGGCGGACAGAAGCCTGCGGCGGGCACAAGGACACCCCCGGGGCGTGGGGGACGCTAGGATGAGCGGACAGATGCGGAGCCAGCCCGGGAGGCAGCGCGGGAGGCGGGCCTGGGGCAGGTGGGGCCGGCGGGGCCGGCAGGGCCAGGCCCAAAGCCGGGGCCTCCAGCGGAACCTGAGCCGGGGCGGAGGCGGGGCAGCCTCTGCGCGTGGGGGTCAGTGGGCGCCGCTGGGCCTCGGTGCTCGGGCCACGGTCCACGCCCCGTCCCCGCCTGCTGCCGCCCTGGCCCTTTCCATGGCTCCTTCTGCCACGCAGGTCACCCCCTTCTGTCCCCCACTCTCTGGCTTCTCTGCTGTCTGTGTCTTTCCCCCTTTGTGTCTTTCACTCTGCCCTGCCCTGCCCTGTCCAGCCCCGTCTCCTCTCGCGGGTCCCTCTGGCCAGGTGGGGCGCTGGGGGCGCTGCCTCCGGCGAGGTGGGCGCGCGCCAGCCAGCCCTGCTGCCCAGAGGGTGCTGACCGGAGGGGCGTGTGCTCCCCTCCGCAGCTGGGGCCCCTCGCACACGCCCGGGATCTTGAGGCGACAGGCAGAGAATCAGTGGCTCCCTGGGGGCGCCAGATGCGCGGCTGGCAGAGGGAGGGGGGCTGGCGGCGGGGACCCGGCAGACGCCGGGGAGGGAGCGGAGCGGCTGACAGCGGGAGGGGGTGCGGCGGGGCCGCCCGGGGAGGCAGCGCGGCCGGGCTGGGGTCCTCTGGCAGGTGCTTAATTAGTGCGCGCGGGGAGGGGCCGTGCCGGGCGCCAGACCCGGAGCCGCGGGGGTGCCGGCGCCACCTGGCGGGCGGACGGGCGCGGCGGCGCTGGGCGCGAACAGGGACGGCCTCCCGCAGCCGCACCCGGGCCCGCAGCCCCACCCGGCCCCGCAGCCGCACCCGGGCCCGCAGCCCCACCCGGGCCCCGCGCGCGCCCGGCCCGCCTGAGCCTCGGCGCTGACCGGGGCCTGAGCGGCAGGAGACGCGAGCCCGGGGCTGGGCGAGCCGGCGGGGCGCTTGCTTCTGGCGCTGCCCAGACCCGTAGCTTCTCCGAGAAAGCACCAGAGCAGGGCGCTTGGGGGGAGAGGTGGAAAGGCGGGGCTCCCCCGCGGGCCGGCCAGGGCTCCCCGAGCTCACGTGCGCGCCTGCGAGGGGCGCCGGCCTCCGCCAGCCCCGGTGAGCAGACGGACAGAGGCTGCGGCGGACCTGGGTGCCCGGACCGGGGCGGGCCTGGAGTCAGCGCCCCGGGGGTCCTGGAAGACGCGCGAGCTGCGCGGGGGCGGCCTGGGGCGCGGCCCGTCGGGGTCCCCAGCGGCCCCGCCCTCCAGGTCCCCTCCCCGCCCTCGGGCGCCCAGACGGCTCCCCCGGACGTGCTTCCAGCAGGCAGTGGGAGCCGGCCGGGGCACCCCGAGGACCGGAAGACGCTTCCCACCCCGGCTTGCGCCTGTCCCGCCGTGGCGGCCGCGTCGGGCCGGGCGCGGGCCGCGTCCACCCACGAAGCGACGAGGCAGAGAAGCCGATCTCGGAGCCACGCGTCCTCGAGCCAGGGGGACACAAGACCCAGAGAGGCAGCCGGCGGCTCAGGGGCACCCGCGGGCGGGGCCTCCGGCGCGGTCCAGGGCCGCCCCCCTCCCTCGGCAGGACGCGCGGGGCCGCTCCGGGGGCGCGGGAGCCTCAGCGCCCGGCTGCGCCCTCTGCTGGCCGAGGCGGGCAAGCGCAGCCGCCGCCGCTCACGCCCACAGGTAGACAAAATCGGCTTTTTTTTTACAATTTTATTTATAACAATATTTGTGTTATTTAGTTGTAAAGGAATTCAGCAAAAATTATTAAAACGTTCATGTCCCCAAAACGGGGCTGCCCGCTTGCCCTTCCTTGGCGCGCCCGCCTGTGCCTGGTCCTGGGGGAGGCCGGGCCCAGGCTCACCAAAGAGGCTCCAGCCCTGGGAGCTCGGGGGGCGCTGGGGGGCCTGTCTGGGAGGGGGACTGACCGTGGCCATCTCAGAGGGCCCCGAGGGCCGGAGCGGGGGCGCGGACGACCTTCCCCAAGAACTAAAAAAATCCATCCTTTCCTTCCTACCTCAGCCGGAGCCAAATCTTCCAGACAGGGGCGCGAGGCTCTCCCCAGAAGGAGCCCCCGGAGCTGAGGGACGGGGTGAGGGGCGAGAGCCTGACAGAGTGTCCTGGGCGGGGGGGGGGGGGGGGGCAGCGCCACCCGCTCTCCCCGCGGGGTGCGCTCCTGGGAAGGCGGGAGGCAGGGCTCCGACCCCCGAAGGCAGCGTGGGGGTGGGTGCCGAGGAGCAGGCAGGAGGGAGGAGAACGGAAGGAGATAATACTGTGCTCACTTGCTCACTCACATATAAAAAGTAATTCCTTCATTTTTACATTTATACATTCCGGCAGCGCCGTGGCGGGCTGGCTGGGAGGCGGGGCTGGCGGGGGGACGCTCTGGCGGGGGCAGGAGGCGCTCTGGGGGCGTCTGCTGGGGAGAACCCTATGCCAAGGGGTCCCCTATCTCGTCCTCAGGGCCCCGGCCCAGGAGTTCTCTCTTCTCGTCCGTGCTGGCCAGGGAGTGGCGGCTGCCGTGCGCGCCCATGTAGAGCGTGGCGTACACGGGGTTGGTGAAGTTGGTGGGCTGCAAGGAGAGCGGGCTCAGCCTGGGCTCGGGGCTGGCTCTGGGGCGCGGGGCTCCCCCCGCCTCTGTTGCATCAACCGCCCCAACACCCTTTGCCACCCACCCACCCGCGGCCTCCCCACCTTGTCGGGGTCCAGGGCGAAGTCCGCGTCCAGCAGGCCGCCGACGTCATCGGGCTCCCCGCCCTCGTACATCTTGTAGGTGGGGTTCCCGATCTCCACGTTCATGGCCCCGTTGGTCATCCGCTGGTGCTGGAAGCCCTTAGCCCTGGGGGCAGGCGGGGTGTCAGGGGGCCGGGATTCCGGGGGCCAAGGCGGGGCAGGGGAAGTAACGGCCAGGATTTTCCAGGCTCCTCGAAACTCACCCTCGCACTCGCCGCTTGTACCAGAACACGGCCCCGGCGCTCAGCAGCAGCAGCAGCAGCAGCAGCGGGGTCAGGATGGAGGCCATGTCTGCAGGGGAGGGCGAGGATGAGTCAGAGGGGAAGGGACAGGGGCCCCCGGCCCCTCGGCGGGTGCCCACGGCCCTGCCTGCCCAGCCTGCCACCTACGTCCAGGCTGCTGCTCGCCGACCGCCTGCTCCTCACACCGGGGTCCTGCCATGTGAGGGGGGCACCTGCGGGCAGAAGGGCCAGAGCTGAGCAGCAGGACCTGCACGGCCACGGCTGCCGGGGGTGGGGGGGCTGCAGGCCCCGGAGTCCTGCTTAGGGCAGGGGAGGGGAGGAAGGAGCGGGGCCTCGGTGAGGCTCAGCCCAACTCACTGGCACTCGGGCATCATTTTGCTGTTCATGGTGCAAGAGCCGCCGTTGCTGCAGTGGCCCACGCAGGTCAGGCAGCTGGGCGCCACCCGTCCGTCAGAGCAGCTGCGGGAAGGAGGGAGAGGCCGGGCTGGGGTCTGGGGTGCCCGGGGGCAGACCCGGGGTGCGGCAGGGCCGGCCGGGAGGCGGCCGCATGGGCGGGCCCACTCACTTGCAGGTGACGTCCCCGCTCTGCTTGTGGACCACGCAGGCGCCCTCGAGGCAGCGGTTGCACTTGTTCACCTCGCACCGCGGGCCCTCGAAGTAGGCGGTGCAGCGGCACTGGCGG